TTTATTCCCAAACTTCGTGATACATGTATTTCATTATTATCTTATTTATTCAAGACACTTAAATGTAATGACCACTGAAAACAAAATTCAATTGCAAGAAAGTGAAATGCCCGAAAAGAAAAACAGTAACATTTAATGATTGAATTACAAGTGAAATTTAAGATGCAAAAAGAAATATAAAAATGGCATAAGAACAAACCACAATGCAGGAACTAAGATGAAACGGACATAAGCCAATAACAAGGCTTCATTTTCACGAATCGTTGACTCGTCAATCTGCATCACAAATTCTGTGTTTTTCAAGGTGTCAATAAGCCTTTCTTCCACATCAGCAGCCATTTCATCAATTCTTTTTGATATGGTGTCATTGCTCAAAGGAATCGATTGCGTGATAGTGCTTGCGCTGGGCCCCAACATGGTGGCAACAATCTGTTTCACTGCTGGTAAAATCAGCGTTTCTCCGATAGTGTGAGGTTTGCCACATTTTGCTATCAACAAAGATACTTCATAGGAACAAATGAGTTTTCCAAATAACTTCCCAACAGTGCTGTGACCCTCAAACTTGGCCTTTAAGGATTGGAAAAACGATGCCAGTTTGTCGACTTTATCTGAATGAATTCTTACCAAATGGTCTTTCAGTCGGGAAGGCTTCATTGCTTCATTTGAAAATGTTTTCTCACAAAGATGACAAAATGGAAGCTATACGTTGGAGGGAGATGGAATGAATCCCAATTTTAGGTATTCCGTCAAATATTGGTGACGCTTCCTCTTCTCGGCCATGTTGAGAGGTCTTCAAAATGAAAGGCACTACCGGCAAATTAAATTTTTGACTCCACTGGAACACTAGAAAAACACACGTGGACGTCGATAAAGCTAGTTTCAACAGTTACATTGACATTACAGCTGATGTCACAGGGGACAGCCACTCAGCATGCAATGTTTCAAAAGAAGCGCTCCCCCCTCCATTACTGCCCATTCTGACCAATGGCGCGCCACTGTATGGGTAGAGGCTGCTGCGCAATGCACATGAAGATAAGCAATGCATATTCACATATGTATGGCATTCTGTACTGAAGCTAGCTGGAGGAACATTTGAAATCACAATTCAATCCATTAATAGCGGGTGATCTGATATTTTTGTATGACAGATATACAGTGATTAACTGTACGAAAAAGTCTCAAAAGTGTCCCCAAAACTTCTCACTCCGTCACCCCCACATTGCCCCCTTCTCGTTCCTTTGCCCCCGCATCGTCCCTTTTCGTTCCATTGCCCCCCTGAAAAATGAAATCGCCCCCTGGGGGGCAATATCGCCCAGGTTAAGAACCACTGACCTAGCACATTAAGTCTTAAAACATGGTTTATAACCATATATTAACTTGGGCACAAGCAAAGCACATTTTAGTTTAATGCCTTGTGTGAATTAGGTTTCTTTGTAATGGGTAAAGTTGCTCCCTGAAGGATGGATGAAATACTGTAAGTCAGTAAATGACGGAGAAAACAAGCCCAAACTAGTTGTGACCCTCTAACCCTGGCTTTCTCAACTGGGATTTGCAAGGGTCTCTAGCGGTTCTGCAAACTCTCATGATGGAAAAAAATAAACACTGCTTCTTGAACTTCATGGACTGTGCAATGCAAAAAGCTCACCTTGGTAAAAATTGTATGTGCTGTGACTCATATGCTCATCTGCTGCTTTATTGCTGTTGTAAAGATTATAAAACACAGAGTATGTAGGTTAGAAGTGAATTCTCTGGTGAAATTGCATATTTTGTGATTTTTATGCAAGTGTTTTCTGAGACCTGACAATTATTCCAGCAGTTCCTCTAGTCTAGGGCATTTTTCTCAGCCTAGCAACTTTAATATGTGTGGACTTCAATTCCCAGAATTCCCTAGCCTTCAAGAGGAGTTGAAATCCACACTTCTTAAAAAGTTATTGAGAAACACTGCTCTAGGATAAAAAGGTTAAGAAAGGCAGTTCTAGACCAAACATATTAAAGTATATAAGCTCTGAAAGCATAATTACAATATAACATAGACTGATTTTACCATCAGGGCTAAGCCATGACCCAGTTTCCTTGCTTGTTTGTGGCTTAGTTGTGCATCTGATTAGCCAAAGCACTGAGATTTAAAAATCATAGTTTAGGATTTATTGTGTTGCACGATTGGAGCCAGTTGTGGTTTATTTCATAAACTACAATTAAACAAACCACAGTTTTACATTTGGTGAATTCACTATCCTATGAGAAGCTGAATGAAATGATGTGTGGTGGGATACTGTACAGCAGGCAATATTTGTCCATCCAGACAAATCAAGAGAAGACCTGCTGAAAGTTCCCTATTTTAACCTTGTAGTTTGTGGGGTGTGAGAGACAAGTTAATGCTGCTTTATTCTCATATGCATTTACTTGCCAGTGGGTGCCTATATTGGGTTTCTTTGTTTTTTCTTTCATATTTAATTTTTATTTTTAATACTGATTTAGATTTAATTACAATGTTTTTTTTTTTCTGTTAGATGTTGTTCGTGGCCAGGAGACCTTTGGGACTGGGGCGTGTTAATCAATACGGTAAATAAATAGAGACCGTTTGGTATCATAGTTAAGGCACTGGAAACCAGGAAACTGTGAATGCTTGTCCTGCCTGAGGCACAAAGCCTGTTGAGTGACATTGGGCCTGTTTCTCTCTTTCTCTCTCTCTCTCTGTCTCTCAGAGAGAGGAATCAAACAAGGGCAAGCCACTTCTGAAATCTTACCCAGAAAACTGCAAGGACCTGACCAGCAGGAAGTTGCCGCGAGTCAACACAGGCTGAAAGGCACCTAGATAATAAATAAAGTGAAGCAGTTTATGATTGGGGCCCAAGAATGGCACATCTGCTGAGATAGTTACTGGTTTCAAAAATAGGGGCTTGACTAGGTGATCAAATACTACCCCTTTTTTCATGCATGTGGCTTCGGAAGAGCAATTTGGATTCCAGTTTCCCTTCTGCATCCTGCATCCTGTGCTTTGTGATCATCTCCATATGCCTCCCATTTTTAAAACTAAGAATCTAGTTGTTCAAATGTATCCCTTAGATGTAGTTCAAGGCTTTGTTTTTTTTTTCTGATTTAATTCTGATCTCGGAGAATCCTTGAAAATCCAATGAGGTAAAGTGTTATATTTGCCTCCTACAAATCCTGGAGCAAAAAATCTATTTTTAGCCCCACAGCATTCTGAAACCTTGGCCAGCGTTAAGGAATGGAGCCTGCTACCAACATGACATCCACGCCTTTTTCTCCTTGCAGCAATGTGATCCAAGGAGAGTATCTATTTCCTTGCCCCATATTATTAGACTGAATATAGGGAGGGGGAGGAGGGATAGAGAAAGGAGCAATGAATATACTTTGGGGGGGGGGAGATGACTTTAATGACAAATGTCATTTAGAGCTAATGTAAAAAATATGCTCTATTTGGGCTTATTTCTACCATTACGCAATGGTGAAACTGCTGTAGATGGCAGATTCGGTCTGTTTCTGATCTCTACTTACCCTGGAGAACAGAGACAGAGTTCACTTGGATCAGTCAGAAAATGGCCTGCTCTGGATTTGGCTTAATGTGATTTGTATATATATATAAAAATGTATTTAATGAACCTGTATGCTGTCTCGGTCAGAGGTAAGTCTAGGCTGCTTATGTGTATGTGTATGTATGCCTTTCAGTCAGTGTCTTGGCAACCGTCTCGACTAATCCCTGATGTTTTCTTGGCAAGATTTTTCAGATGTGGTTTGCCCTTGCCTGCTTCCTAGGGCTGAGAGAAAGTGACCGGCCCAAGGTCATTCAGCTGGTTTTGTGCTAAAGTGGGACTAGAACTTGCTGTCTCCTGGTTTCTAGCCTTGTGCCTTAACCACTATACCAAAATTGGATCTAAAGTGCTTTAGATATCCTAAAAACACAGGTTTTTTTTTAAACGTCAGCTTTTCCAGTCATTATTTCCTCCCCGGATTGTTCTATTTTTAACGATTCTAGTTTTTACTTCATTTTTATTCTATTTTTATCTTTTTTTTAAAAAAATGATTTCATTGTATGGTATTACACTTACAGCTTTTAAAAATGTTTTTTTACAAAAATAATATGTAGGATTCCATATTCTGTGAATATGTGTACCAAAAATGCTTCTCGTAACTCACTATCCATATAATCGGTGCATGTTCGTATATTCCCTAAAAATATTCAAAATACCGCTTGTGTCAGAATAACACAGGTTTGTTTCTAACAGTGATTCACTCCTCTCTCTCCGGCTATATAAAGAAGATCTGGGGCTCCAGTACGAAGAGCAGAGTCTGTATATGTAAGCATCTGCGTCAAGGACAGAGGCCTTACATTTCTGGTGGCTGTTGGCATCCGGCCAAGCAGCTTGGTGCACGATATAGTAACAAATCCGGCCTTTTCTCTTCTGATGAGATGGCAAGAATGCAATTCTGTTTGACAGCTGAAGGTCAAAAGGAGAACAAAAGCTGAGCAGCTGAATCTTGTGCTCTTTATTTTTGCTTTCATCCTGCGGTCTTGAAACAGCTCACAGGGAATCTTTTACTTTCTCGTATCTCCTCAGTCTCCTTCCTAGAAGTTGAATGTGTGGCGATTCCGTTTGTGAGGGGAAGGCGATCAAGGGAAGGTCATCCGAGTCTGTTGGATACAGGGAGATCTGAACTCTGTCCATCCTTATTCAACTCTCCTATGTGATCCAGGCTGGTTCTTTACCTTATTAGGCGAGGTAAAGAAAGAAAACAGATGCACTGCATAAGATCTTATCGCCAAAGCAATTGAATTTCACAGTGTTGTAGTGCCGTCTCTGGGGAAATAAATTTTCCTTTGGCATGTTTATTGTAATTGTGACTGCTAGATGGAACAGACTTGTACGAATGACATAACTACTTTGTGGCTCTGCCTCTGCCATCATCCTGACAATAACACACACACACACACACACACACACACACACACACACACACACACACACACACACGTTGCCTGCTGCCTTATCTCAAAAGCGTACTTTAAGTCAAGGTAATCCAGCCCCATATGCTAGTGCCTCAAACTCCCAGAGCTGCCATCTATCTTGCACATTTGGTTACTGCAAGGTTTACAACAAAAACGCCATGCTGGGTTTACAGCTAGATGGATGCTCTACATTGTACCCTCGACACACTGCAGATAGTCCTCGACTTACGACTACAATTGAGCCCAACGTTTCTGTTGCTAAGCGAGACAGTTGTTGAGTGAGTTTTGTCCCATTTTGCAACCTTTCTCGCCACTGTTGTTAAAGTGCATTACTGAAGTTCTTAAGTGAGTAACACCGTTGTTAAGGAGAATCTGGCCTCCCCATTTGATTTTGCTTGGCAATGGGTGGCAAAAGATAATCCCATGACCCCGGAACATTGCAACCGTCATAAATATGAACCAATTGCCAAGCATCTGAGTTTTGATCATGGGACCATGGGGATGCTACAAAGGTCGTGTGAAAAACGTTCATAAGTTACATTTTTAAGTGCCTTTGTAATTTCAAAAGGTCACTTAATGAACTGTTGTAAGTTGAGGACTACCTGTACTGGGTGTGTCCTCTCGTTAAATCTGCTAGATCAGGAGTAGGCAATGGCTCAGGAATTCTGGGAGTTGAAGTCCACGAGTCATAAAAGCCAAAGTTGCCTGCCCCTGTTAGATATTTGAATTCTGTTCATTTTGTTTATTCTCTCTTTATCTCTGGATTCTCAAAGGCTCCATCACAGCTGCCCTGTTGAGTAACCTCAGTTGGTTAAACGTGTCTCCCCATCCCATCTTGAATACATGAACCTCTCCATTCCATTGGCTCTCTTGTCTTCAACTAGGATATGGAAAAACACTCCCAACTTAGTGTATTCCCTAAACCTGGCTAGGAATTATGGAACTGGTAGTCCCAAAATATCTGGAATGAGGACAGGTTCACGGAGGAATTCCTTCATCCCCTTCCTACCACTCTTTCACCGACTGATTTATCAAATTGTGAATGTCATAAATTTCCTAATTTTTATTTTTTAAAAATGGGGTTTTTTTGTTTTTCATGATTGTTTTTATTACGGTTTTCGTGTTAAAATTGACACACTTATGTTGTTGTCTTCTTGTGAGCATCTTAATGGCAGCGAGGGATATGCTTGTTTTAAATCAATGTAAACCTTAGATTACTAGTGATATATTTGTTCAACACTGACCTCAGATTACATTCTGGAGAGATAAAAATAAACTAAAACCAGTCTTGGCTGAAGTTTTTATTTTTAATACAAAAGCTAGATAAAATAGGAAAGAAAAGAGAAGGAACCACAAAAGAATACATGGCAAAAAAGAAAAAAAAATCCCCAAACAACAAAAGAATTAAGAAATAAACATGCCTGAATGTGCTTCTTTATAAACCTGGGTGAAAGAAAAAAGATTTACAGATATAGTACAAATATAAGAGGTGACCAGGTGATTTGATTCCCTCCCAATCTCCCTCTGGATGGTCTGCTTAAAGACCCTCTTCTTTCCTTCTCTCCTTTTAAAACAGGCATAGACTGGACAGCCCATCAGACCAAAAATGCATCAAGTTAATGACAGTCCCTCTATCAGTTAGGACATATAATCCTAAACAATCTTGAACAAAACTTTTGTAAAAAAATATTGTAAAAAGAAGGTGTAGAGGCATTGAGCTGGAGGCAGGCAGAAGAATGAATTTTTTTTTCCAGTGGAAGAGAATAAATCTTTTCCAACTGTATGACTTTTAGATGTGTTGGACTGCACCTCCATAATTCTCAGCGATTCCAGATAAGAATCTTTCTTAGGAATCTGAATTCTTCACTTAAAACTAATTTTTGCATCCGGGCAACCCATGCTGTAAACCATGCAAATAGTACGTATTCAGAAATGTCCCATTGGGTTCACTGGGAGTTATTTTTTGAAGAAAGGGTGCTTAAGGTTCCAAAAAGAGGAACTGAAATTATGAAAATTCCAGGGTCAAAGGTGTTGAAAAAAAACCCATCAGATCCAGTTCCAAGCTGGGGGTAAATAAAATGGAGGCTAAGATGCTGGAAATAAAAATGGAGACTGCCTAGAAATTGATTCCAATTTATTGATGAGCAGAACCACCAGCAGCATGTGGTTCTGGGACAGCTGCCCAATGGAGTTGAGAGTGGATGGATCTTTATAGGGCTCTGAGACTTTGAAGTGAAAATGTTTCTGGGTTGTGCAATGAGGTGGGCTTTTGTGTCTTTTGCTCAGTCTGAAGAGGGTTTAGGATTAATCCTATTACGTCCTAAAGGTCATGTTCTTTAGATTTTGGGTGGGGGAATGTAAATTCTTAATCCCATGAGCTGTGGAGGCTGAAGGCATTTTGCTTATGAATGGTGTGCCCCAAATCTGCATTTCTAAAGAGCTGGTTTCCTGAATTTCCACTTGGGGTAGGGGGACTGGTTTCTGCCTTTTAAGATTTTTCTCCATTATTCCTTTGGGGAAATATAATATTCTGCCTCTTTTAATATCTGCCAAAATATTTCATTCTCTGGGGAGGGGGGAATGCTGACTTCCTACAAAGGTTTGGTATAGGTCTCCCCCCTAACAGTAGTTAACAAATGCAAATCAAGTTGATTTAGTAGACAGCACTTACAAAAATGCATCCACACTGACAATGTCCCAGTAGGGTCCTATTGAGAAAATGGACCTGGATGGACTTCTCTTAAAGGCCTCTTGCTGTTCTCAGCCAAACATAAAGTTCTTCTAAGCAAAAATGTCCAAGCAAATCTGAGTGGAAAGCCTAAAATGCTTTGACCTCAGCACTCTTTCACCAGATCCTCAATGCCTAGCCTTTGCAGCCTTTGCAGGGCACACTCGGCTTGCAGACGAGCCTCTGGTTCAGGGTCCCAACAGTCTTCCAGGAGCTCTTGCAAGGAAATAGCTACCTGGGGGACAGGAGAGAGAAGGTGGAACAGCAATTGTGAAGAAGAGACAACAGGAACTCCTACTAAAAGATTTAGAACATAAATAGCAGAGTTAGAAGGGACCTTGGAGGTCTTCCAGTGCAACCCAGAGCAGGAAACCCTACACCATTTCAGACAAATGGCTGTCCAGTCTCTTCTTAAAAGACTCCAGTTATGGAGCACCTGCAACTTCTGAAAGCAAGCCGTTCTCACCGTTAGGAAATTTCTCCTTAGTTCTAGATTGCTTCTTTCCTTGATTAGTTTTCATCTATTTTTTTCTTGTCTTGCCTTCTGGTGCTTCAGAAAATAGGTTGAACCCCTCCTCTTTATGGCAGCCTCTCAAATACTGGAATACTGCTATCATGTCTCCTCTAGTCTTTCTTTCCACTAGACTAGATAGGCCCAATTCCTGCAACCATTCTTCATATGTTTTAGCCTCCAGCCCTCTAATCATCTTTGTTGCTCTTCCCTGCACTCTTTCCAAAGCCTCAACATCTTTCTTACATTGTGGCGACCAAAACTGGATGCAGTATTCCAAGTGTGGTCTTATTAAGGCTTTATAAAGCAATACTAATACTTCATGGGGTCTTGATTCTATCTATTAATGCAGCCTAGGATTGCATTGGCTTTTTTGGCTGCTGCCACACACTGTTGTCTCAAATTTAACTTCCTCCCTTATTAACATCTTATTCTAGAACAGTGGTTCTCAACCTTTTTAATGCCGCGACCCCCAACCGGTCGTAAGTCAAGGACTACCCAACCAGTCGTAAGTTGAGGACTACCCAACCGGTCGTAAGTTGAGGACTTTCCCTGCCCGGGAGCACCACGCATCCGTGGTGCCTCCCCCTGTGCCGGCCGAGGCGTAGCTGGCAAGCGGCAGAGACGGCGCAGGCCGACCACCGGCTGGGCCACCAGCTGGCCCAGCCCAAGGGAGGTAAGGCACCCGCCGGGCCCCACGCACACCAGCAACCCTCCCTATGCCCGCCGGTCTCCCACCTCCCACCCCTGGCCCTCTTTTACTTACATTTTTAGTAGTTGCTCAGCAGGGAGGGGTGGAAGCTTCCAGACAGCTCACCTTCGCTGCAGACAACTTGTAGCACTATTTGCAGAATAGGACTTTTGGCGGGCTCAGCAGGGCAGAGATAGCCTGGACAATTCCTATTGGCTTTTGAAAGCCAATAGAATTAGACTCTATTCAAGAGAGTCTATTCTATTGGCTTTCAAAAGTCAATAGAATAAAAGGGAGTAGCACAGCTAAGGAAAAGGGGGAAAAGATGGCGGACTGCGTTGTTTGGCAACCCCCGTGAAATGGTCGTTCGACCCCAAATGGGGTCTCAACCCACAGGTTGAGAACCACTGTTCTAGAACAGGGGTAGTCAACCTTGGCTCTTTTATGACTCGTGGACTTCAACTCCCAGAATTCCTGCGCCTAGAATGTTCCGAACCTCTGTTTGCATCCTTCCCAGCCAGTGCTGATGAAACCCTGGGAATCCTATGTATCTGAAAGGCATGGCAAAAGCTGTTGCAGGAGAGGGGACCTGGGGTGCAAATAAGGAATGACACCCCTCATCCTGTATCTGGAATAAGGAATTTTGACAAGGCTTTTGCGCCTAATCATTCTAGTAAGACCCCCATCTCTAATACAAATGAATCCTGATTTCATAGTGAGGCAGACTTTGCACTTGAGGAAGCTAATTTTTGAAAGAGAACCTTGACATCCACCCTGCTGCAAAGAGACATACAATTCTGAAACTAGAGTTTCGTTGAGTGTACAAGAGCCCTCCTTTCAAAGCAAAATCTCTGTTGGTTTCTCCAAGCTCTTTCTATTTCAACTATTTTTAGCACGGGACTAGGGAGTTATTTTGTTTCTCTTGCCACTAATAAATAGGAAATTAAATTCTTAATGAACTAATGTAAAATACTCAAGAGTTCTACCAGTGGATCCAGATTCAACTCTTGCTGTCCTTAAAAAAATATGGTTCTGTCTACTGAGCTCCCCTCTTGCCTTTCACTTAAAATTCCATTAAAGTTCTCGTAAGAGCTTGATCCTGGCTCAAGAATTTTGGAAGTTGAAGTCCACAAGTCATAAAATGGCCATAGTTCCCCATCCCTGCCTTAGAGTATCATAGGTTCTTAAAGAGGCCTGTACTAAAATCCCAGATGTTAGAAGCATATATTAATCCCTTCCATTACTTTTACTGCATCTAGACTGGGTCCAAGGTTTTGTTGTGCTGCCACAAGAGCCAAAGGGCCTCAGGGCTCTTGCCCTCAAATCTCCAGCAGCCATGCAGCATTTTTGTTCTCCTCAGCTTCTCAGGAAAAATATTGCCCAAGAGTTAAATACAGGCATTCTATCTGTGGCCTCCAGAACTGACAGGGCCAACTTTTCAACCAATGTTCTCTCCTTTTTTCTTTTTTTGGCAGAGGGGCAGGGCTAAGGCACAAGCTGTGTTCCCTTAGCCTTGCAGGATTTAAGGGACCCATTATATTTCTTAAAATCAACTCCTGGTCCATCCTCTTTAGGAGCGTGGCTTCCAACATGTTATCTAAAGCCTACTGCCCCATATTCAAGCCTATGTATGTTGTGGCTTAACATACTTGCCCAAATCTTGTCCAAGCTGGTGGGACAATTGGTCTTCTTCTTTCCTCAACAACCAACCTTCGCAGTTCACTGTATGTAGGACTGTTACCTAATTCTGCTTCATAGGCAAGCTGGAATGCAGGAACGCTGTTCTCTGAAGAGACAAAAATGGGCTGTCTTACTAAAGCAGGGCTTGTGTGTTTGTGCCAAACATATCTAGTGCAGGAACAGCAAAGTATTGCTTCAGTTGACTTTTTCACACTTCACAGTACCCATTCCATAACAAAGTTTCATTTCCAAGTGATTGTCCCTGGGCTCAGAGTCCCAATCTGTTAGTACAGGTAGTCCTTCACTTATGACAGGAGTCTTCAAACTTGGCCCTTTTATGATTTGTGGACTTCAAGTCCCAGAATTCCTCAGCCAGGCACAGAATTCTGGGACTTGAAGTCCACAAGTCATAAAAGGGCCAAGTTTGAAGACTCCTGACTTACCACAACTGAGCCCAAAATTTCAGTTGTTAAACGAAACAGCTGTGAATTTTTGGTGAGTTGTTAAGTGAATTTTGCTCCATTTTACAATCTTTCTTGCCACAGCTGTGAAGTGAGTGACCAAGTTAGTAGCATGGTTGTTAAGTGAATCTGGCTTCCCCACTGACTTTGCTTGCCCAAAGGTCGCAAAAGGGGATCACATGACCTCCCCAAGACAGTGCAACCATCATAAATATGAACCAGTTGCCAAGCGTCCGAATTTTGGTCACCTTACTGTGGGGATGCTGCAACAGTCGTCAGTGTGAAACCATTGTAACTTAGAATGGCCACTAAATGAACTGTTGTAAGTTGAGGACTACCTATAAAGGTAGACCCAGGACGTTGCCCTGATATTAATGGTCATTGACACCCATTGAGTCGGTTCACAGAAGGAAAGGCTTTCCTGCACAGATCAGCTATCCTTTTAGGCTTGTTGTACTGAATACAGTATTAGCAAGAGAAAGCGATTCATAGGAGTCATTAAAGCAAAAGGAATCTTTAGTGTGTTGCTGCCTGTTTTCATCCTGTCAGCTTTTAAGGGTTAAGCCTTGCATTTATTGCTGAGGGCAAAGATGGTCCTTAATCTCAAAAAATGTGTAGTTCTTTGGTCTACCTGTAGAGCAGGAATGTCAAACTGCCACCCCGCAGGCCGGTTTCATCATACCTGAGCCGTGCCCACCCCATTGCCAGCAATGGCAAAAAAGCTCCGATAAGTCGTGCGACATCACATGATGTTGCGAGTTTGACATGCCTGCTGTAGAGCAAGCAATGTTTCTCAACCTTGTCAATTTTAAAACTTCAGGAATTAAACTTCCAGTATGCTGACTGGGGAATTCTGGGAGTTGAAGTCCACATATCTGAAAGTTGACAAGGTTGAGCAACAGTGCTGTGTAGAGCAGTGGTTCTCAACCTGTGGGTCGGGACCCCATTTGGGGTCGAACGACCATTTCACGGGGGTCGCCAAACAATGCAATCCGCCATTTTTTCCCCCTTTTCCTTAACTGTGCTACTCCCTTTTATTCTATTGGCTTTTGAAAGCCAATAGAATAGACTCTCTTGAGTAGAGTCTAATTCTATTGGCTTTCAAAAGCCAATAGGAATTGTCTAGGCTGTCTCTGCCCTGCTGAGCCCGCCAAAAGTCCCATTCTGCAAACGGTGCTGCACGGGTTGAGTAGTCCTTGACTTATGACCGGTTGAGTAGTCCTCAACTTACGACCGGTTGGGGGTTGCGGCATTACAAAGGTTGAGAACCACTGGTGTAGAGGGATAAAAACTTTTGTATTGCGGACGCATACTTCTATTAAATGTTAGTGGCCTCTCAGTAACACATGCTCAGCTAGTGTATTCCAATCCAGCCTCTACTCTTTAAGAGAGAAAAAAACTTCTGCTTGGAGGACACTGCCCATTCCCTGGATAGAAGCTCCAACGTATTGACTTGGACAATGCAATATTTTCCTCCTTCAGCAATCTTTTTCTCTTTAGCAGTGGGTCTTGCTAGGAGACTGGGGGCCTGACTGATGCCCAGGGAGGTTGAGCTGCTCTTGCTCATGCTGCTCCATCAATGACTGCTTCTCATTGTACAGAGATGAGTCACAGTACTGGGGGAAATGATGTCTCAAAGCAACAGAAGCCTTTTGTCTCGAGTGATTTAAAAGGGAAAGTCTAAAGAAGGGAAAGAGGAGAGGAAGCAGAAGGAGGCTGAGTTCACTAGGACTAAGATCATATAATCCCACCCCGGCAGTCAACAGTTCTGCTTTAATTCTTTCAAGCTGAACATGTTAGCGTTTGTTGTTGATCAAGGGCAGGATGTGCTCCTCAATTGCCATCAGATGGCAGCATACCCCACACCATTATCACGACTGTAGGCTCACCCTCCCTGTTTATATTTTGGCGCAACTGACTTTCCAAGGTAGGCGAAATTCGTCCTTCTGGAACAAAACAGGAACAACTATCCGAAATCAGACCAAGCTGCAGTGTGGTGCTTCAAACAGGCAAGGGGGTGGCTGTTTGACTTTTCATGACTTCAGCATGTTAAACTGATCTCAGTTATTAGCGCAACTGGTGGAGACTATGATAAAGGGCAGAAGTCAGATCCTCTCGTGCCCCTTCAAAGGGAGATTATGGAGATGGGTGGGAATGGAAGATACCAGATAGCAGCAGCCTTTTGGCTACCCCACCCATTTGTAGATTGGTTGCCTTTGTGAAGAAGCGCAGGACCACGGAACTGTGTCTCTTGATTGATCAGAACAACAGGGTACGATTCCGGTTAGTAAACAAAAATAGGCTTGGCGAGAATATTTGTAGCTCAGGGTTGAAATGAGGGGTCCTTTGGTGCCCTCTGAGCTTGGCTGTTTCCTTGCAGATGTTTAATTATCCCAATCAGGTAACACCATCAACACCGATGATGTTACCCAGTTTGCATAACGAAACATCTGCCAGAAAACCAAGCTTAGAGAGCGCCAAGGACTCCTCAAAAATAGGCTTTAAAAATCTTTTTAAACTTGCACACCAGGGATAGGCAAATAGCGAAGGCAAGGGTGATTGCATCTTGGAGGCTGCCAGCAAGGGGCTCTGGATCTCGACCTCGCTCCTCCTGTCCTTTTGCCTTAAATCTTGCAAAAAACAAACAAACACTGCCTGGGGGCTTGATAGGAGCTGCAGCAGGCAAGTAGCAGGGAGGGAGGGAGGGAGGGAAGGAAGAGAAACCGCTGCTCCCCCACAGCCAGCTGTCCCCTCAGTTGGCTACACCAGCACTGTAGCCTCATCTTATCAGCTTTTTTCAGGAAGACCCCGTCAGGAAACAGACACTGTGTGAACTAATGGAACTCTACAGTATTATTATTATTATTACTACAGGGCATGCTAATCAAATTTTGAAAACTTGAATGAGAGTCTCTCTTTCCTTTTTTATATTAGCCAGGTGCAACTAGCTTGACTTTTTCTTCCCGCCTGCATCCCAAATCTGGGCCAACTTGATGTTTACAAAATGGCCCTTCTTCAAGGCCATCTCCAAACTCCTCTGTACCTCTTCTCAGTTAGGAAGAGAGACTGAGAAGCTGGGGTGGGTGGTGGGTGGGGGGAGATAACTATGGACTCAGACCTGCTACTGGAGCCATAGCAGAAAAACAGGAGCTTTAGGACATCCCTCCCCCCCCCCCGCTTCTGCTGCTCCTACTCAATAGTAGAGGTTGGAGCAAGAGTCCTGAGGTCTCTCACCATGGGACAGTCAGTTTGAGGGGTTTGCCTTGGGCAGGGGTAGGTAACCTTGGCTCTTCTATGACTTGTGGACTTCATCTTCCAGAATTCCTGAAGTTGAAGTCCACGAGTCATAAAACACCCCAGGTTGCCTACCCTTGGCCTTGGGGCTCATCACAACTGCACTCAAAAGGCACATGCACTCAAAACAACAAAGGAGATGCATTTATCCTCACTGTACTAGATTTGTGAAATCAAAACTTGTTAGGGGTAACTTGCGATACAATCACAGGGGTGAGTTCTGGATTCAGATACAAATAAAAACTCAGTTTGACTGCTAGATCCTTTATTAGCAAAGAGCGACTCCTACTCACCCCCCCCCCATTGTGATAGCTTATGCAATACAGAAAATTATGAACAGCCTGTAATAAATGAATAATTTTTTTTTACTGGAAGTAGTAATAATTGAATTGATCCTAAAAAAAAAACACCAAGAAAAAAAAAGACCTCAATTTCCACTGAGGCTACATCTTATTTAGGCCACTCAAACGGAATCGGAATCGTATCAGATGTGATTTCAGAGTTCGGGGAGGGTAAAGGCTCATCCAAAACTACCTGGAAGAAATGAGCAGATGTTTGTACATTCTCATTTCTGGAGGAGAAAAAAAAATCACCAGTCAAAGTTAAAACTTTTCTCACCTTTTGAGAGAAAAGAATCAACCCTATCTTTCATATTAGGAAAATTGGATATCATTAGTACTGTAGGGATTGAATAAACCCCAAAAGAACAATTAAAACTTATTGAGTATTATGTCCTCCGTGTAGGATCCCATTATGGAGTACAAGGATAGTCTGCCCTTATACCGACAATGAAGCTAAAGTTTATTTATTTAAGGCACATAATGAAGCTGCAACTGTCTTTGAAGAAGACACGATGTTTGGAAAAATGGAAGAAGATTGAAAAAGAAGCCATTAGAAGACAGAAAGTAACTGACTATTACTATGCATTACACAAGCCCAAGCTTACAAAAACGGAAATAAACAGTTTTTAAGCGAACATAGTAAAATGATGTCCATAAGTCACGAGGAAAGGTGGGAAACACTGAATAAGTCTTGTGTTTCAAAACGGACGAGGAGTATCCAATCCAATGGGTATCCCCATTGTCAAACCCACCCAGATGACTCAACTGCCAAGATGTTAGTACAGGTTAGTCCTCAATTTACAACAGTTTATTTAGGGACTGTTTGAAATGACAATGGCACTGAAAAAAAGAGACTTATGACTTTTTTTCACACTTACAACCGTTGCGGCGTCCCCCCGGCCGCGTGATCCAAATTCAAACGCTTGGCAACAGGTTCCTATTTATGACAGTCGCAGTGTCCCGGGGTCACGTGATCACGTTTTGTGACCTTCTGAGCGGGAAAGTCAATGGAGGGAAGCCAGATTCACTTAACAACCATGGCAAGAAAGGTCGTAAAATGGAGCAAAATTTACTTAACAACTGTCTCACTTAGCAACAAAAAGTTGGGGTTCCATTGGGGTCGTAAGTCGAGGACTACCTGTAAGGTATATTTAATGTTAACCTTGGGTAAGTACAGAACCTGGGAAACTGTGAGAGGAATTTCCCCCCCCTCGGTGGAAGTGAATACGTTCAGGCAGAGTCTCTTTGAAGGCTTTGCAATGCTTTCTCCCCCTGTTTCCTGGCCACCTGGACTAAGCTGCTGTTTACAAGATAAGCTGCCAACTGAATAGCCTTCTGTTTCTTGATTGTTTAGGTCTCCTTTCCAATCTTTTTCTTTCCCAACCTCCCCACAATCTCTCACGCCCATCTGCCCAAGAATTACCCACTCTGGACCTGCCGCCTTATTTCTCTGCTACTTTCTCGTTATTTGACTGAGCAGCTAAAACAAGGGTTTGCAAACTTGCTAACTTTAAGGTGGGTAGAATGAATTAAGTTTAATTAAGTTTAAATTTAAAAAAAACATGAAGCTAAAAGATGATAGGGAGAACTGTTTTTCTGCTGCTTAGCAGAGTAAAATTTGCAGGAGATTTAAATCTCCCTTTGCCGGTTGCACTGCTTGGCTGTACAGTAGAAACAATTAAAAGGTAAACAGCAAAAGGCCCTCGATTTTCCTTTGTCTGTTGCCTCCCTTTCCCTGCAACCTTATCTCTTAAGACTCTAAGGTTGGGTTCAAACATCATGCTGCCCAATCTCATTCTTGGTAAAGCATGGTATATGGTTACTGTATTGTTTGGATCCAGGAATTGTGCTGTACTCTAAAAAGTATGGCTGAACAAGCCATGATTTTGTACTATATATAAACTATATGTGTCTATTTCCATGTGAATAGAATAGAATAGAATAGAAAATAGAATAGAATAGAATAGAATAGAATAGAATAGAATAGAAAATGAATGGAATGGAATGGAATAGAATAGAATAGAATAGAATAGAATAGAATAGAATAGAATAGAATAGAATAGAAAATAGAATAGAATAGAATAGAATAGAATAGAATAGAATAGAATAGAATAGAATAGAATAGAATAGAATAGAATAGAATAGAATAGAATAGAATAGAATAGAATAGAATAGAATAGAATAGAATAGAATAGAATAGAACAGAACAGAAAATAAAACAAAACAGAATAGAATAGAATAGAATAGGATATAGAATTCTTTATGGGCCGTGTGATTGGGCACACAAAGAATTTGTCTCCAGTGCAGAAGCTCTCAAGGTACATGCAAAGCAGCAGAGTAATAATAATCACCATAATGATACCAAAAAGGGATAGACTATGATGCAATGGTATGGCAAGAAGTAAGAGAAGAAATCTAACACTGGGGGAATGATTCAAATGAAGCTCCATACTTAGAACCTTGTTTTTAAGTTGCTTTACTACTAGTTTAATAGAGAAAAGTTTGGCATTCTGAGCTTTCCAAGAATAAAGAAGGAAGGAGTTCATCCTCTCTGTTCTTCAAAGGACAGTTCTGCATTCATCCGTGGTCTTTCGAAATTAAGAATATACTTTACCATGACATAGAGAAAATCTCAAGTTGGACTTAATTCCTGTTATCCTCATAAATATATCCTTGTAGGAGGTTTTTTTTTTTACTGATTATGTGTTTATAGATACATTTTCTCCATGACTATATTGTTTTTACTATAATAGAAAATTTAAACACACACACACACACACACACACACACATCCCACCTTTCTATACACGATAACTAACAATAAGAATAAAGAGATATGGGCAATGATAGTTTGCATACTTTCTTCCAGCTTGCACTTATAGTGGCTCCCTCCATCTGTTGTGCAGCACAAGTTTATCTTTCCCTAAAATGTTGGACAGGGTTTCTCTTCTAAGTAAATCACAATTGCTTTTGGCACAAACAGCAGGTTCCAGTTTAGTCTTTTCCTTACAGCCAGCCCATTGTGGGAGCTGAGAATTCTCATCAAGCTACATTTCCCAGCATTCTTTGGAAGGGACCTTGGCAATTTAATGGTTGCAAAGGCAAACCGACTGGACATCAGCTCCTCTAATTCTCAGCCAAGGCCTTTGGCCATGCAGGCTGGGATTTATGGAATTCCATGATGGTTTACCTGGGAAAAGCGCAGAGCATCTCATCAGGATCTCCCACAGTACCAGTGCCAGGGAATAGACATCAGCTTGTCTCAGTGAAGAGCCCACATCCTGCAGATTCAGGTTCTCGTCCAAAATTTCGGGAGCTATGTAGCGTTGAGCTCCTGCCTAGAGAAAATGCCAATGAAAGATGCGGGCAGTTTATGTATAATGCCTGCTTGGAGCAAGTACTTGTTATGCCCAAATTTTATATAGTCCATCTCAAAACAGTTACAATATGAGAGAGGGAGGGAGGGAGGGAGAAGAAAGAGACTACCATAGTGGTGCAGTAGTTAGAATGTAGTATTGCAGGCTGACTCTGCCAACTTCCAGCAGTTCGATCCTGAGAGGACTCAAGGTTGACTCAGCCTTTCATTCTTCCGAGGTCCGTAAAATGAGGACCCAGATTGTTGGGGGCAGTATCCTGACTCTGTAAACCTCTGAGAGAGGGTTGTAAAGCACTGTGAAGCAGTAGGTAAGTCTAAATACTATATGATACTACCAAGACACGGTGATATCTCAAATAAGGTGCTGGAATCAGACATGCTGGTTCTGCATCTCTACTGGAATAAATATCATAGGATAATCTCTTGTTGTCATTACTGACTGAACCGTGTTGTGATGATTGTTATCATTTTATGAGGTTTTTTATATTAGATGCCTGGAGCTTGAAGTTCAATGTAAGTATATTCATTTAAAAAGAACTATTGATCACATTTTAAACAATTTGCACCTCTTTTGAATTTCCTATGTCATCTATGGTACCTTGTGCATGATGGCTTCTGCAGGATCTTTTCCTGACTGCTGGTGTCGCAGAGGGAGTGTCATGGCAAGGCCAAAATCAGTTATGACGCAAGTCCTGTCTTCTCGCACCAACACATTCTGGCTACTTAGGTCACGATGGGCCACCCCAGGTTTATGCAGGCCTGACATCATGGAAGAATAACAAGTTTCAACAAAGTTGTCACCTTAATCATGTGCCACCTTATTAAACCACAAAGAGGGCAGTTAGAGTGGAGAAAGGAAGACTGGATTCACCCATCACACCATTGTTTGTTTAAACACGGCTTACTGAATCATGAGAAGAAACTGCATGGTGAAGAAAGTTTGGTTAAAATCTATAATGCCTAGTATCGCTTAGTAAGGAAAAATTTCATAAACCAGATTATGGCATACTGTAGTACAGGGGTCCCCAATCCCTGGTCCGTGGACCGGTCCCGGGCCACGGCATGCCAGAAAACCAGGCCATGCAAATAAGCGAAGCGCCATCTGCGGGATGCAGGCAGCACATGAAACCACGCCCCCTCCGGTCTGCAGAAAAACCTCTCTCCATGGAACCGGTCCCTGGTGCCCAAAAGGTTGGGGGCCTCTGCTGTGGTATGTCAGCAGAATCAAGCTAAAAAGAGCTTAAATAGGTTAACAACTGAAGGACAGGTATTTTCCATTCATAAGGTTCAAGCCCAGATATTTCCACTTAAAAGACATCAGGCAGGGGATTTGTGGTTTTAAATCAAGGATTACCTATACCAGTGATGGCGAACCTTTTAGAGACCGAGTGCCCAAACTGCAACCCCAAATCCACTTATTTATTGCCAGGTGGGTGTGGCCCACTGGATGGGCGTGGCTGTGGTGGTCATAACAGATTGGGTGGGTGTGGCCAAGGTGGGCCTCAATGATCACCTCAATGTTGCTGGTGGGGAGGGATGCCTGTGGGGGCCGGGCAGGGTTGGGGGAGATCCAGGGGGTCTCTGGCAAGTGGGGCGGTGGGCAGGAGGCTCATCCTGTGGGGTGAGGTGAGGCAAGGCAAGGTGAGGCAGGGCGGGGGTGCCATTGTCACAGGGCAAGGTGAAGCCGGGGCGGCTGCTGCCTGACACCATCGGGCCCTGCACACAGAGGCCAGTGAGTGCATGGGTGCTGGGATGCATCCAGCTATGTGGGACCTCGCCGAGTTAGCGGGCGGCTGGTTGAAGAGGGACGGTTGCCATCTCATGGTTTATAATAATAATAAGAGGACTCTGAGTGCCGCCTGTGGCACGCGTGCCATAGGTTCGCCACCACTGACCTATACTGTACCTGTGCTCTTGGCTTATTTCTTATTATAAAATTGCTGTTTTCTTATTTGTTCCTTCTCCCGTGACACCCCCCCGAGTAATATATGAAAAAAGAGCTCTTCCCTGCAGTTGCTGTTCCCTCTTTCATTATGAAATCCTCAGTCGAATATAAACATTTACGTATTGAATTGAGGATTTTATAAACACAGGTAGTCCTTAACTTACAACGATAATTGAGCCCAACATTTATGTTGCTAAGCAAGACAGTTATTAAGTGGATTTTGCCCCATTTTATGACCTTTCTTGCCACAGTTGTTAAGTGAATTACTGCAGTTGTTAAGTTGGTAACAGGATTGTTAAGTGAAACTGGATTCCCCATTGACTTTGCTTGTCAGAAGGTTACAAAAGGGGATCCCATCACCCCCAAGACACCGCAACTGTCATAAATATGCGTCAGTTGTCAAGAATCTGAATTTTCCTCAGGTGACTGTGGGGATGCTGCAGGGGTTATAAGTGTGAAAAACAGTCACAAGTCACTTTTTTCAATACCTTTTCAATACAGGTTGTTGAGGACTACTTGTACTAACATCTTGGTAGTTCCGTCATCTGGGTGGGTTTGACAATGGGGATACCCTGCAGATGGGATACTACCTGTAGATGATACACAGTCAGCTCCATCCCCTGATGGTGCCTCAGTGGTCCATCAGGAAGTCTGCAGGACACAGATCATTCTGTGGCTTCCTGTTGGATATTCTTGGTGTCCTACCTTCCTTCCATTTCTCCTCATGTAAGAAAGCAAGGCCACTGGCAAGGGATGATCCAAGCCGGATGCTGATCTCCCAGGAACAAATGTGCTGGCTGAGGAAGTTCCGTAGGGATCCCTTTCAAGAAAATGCAACTAACTCAGTTTAGGCCCAAACACAAGATTGTTGACCTCAGCATTCATCTTTTAATGGCTATGGTGAAGGATGTATCTGGATTAAGCAAACTGGCAGAATAATTTTGGATAATAGGCTCCTTTGATGCCCAGTTTTTCTTCTTTTTAATAATAATAATGTTTATAATAATAATAAAGTTGGAAGGGACCCTGGAGGACATCTAGTCCAACTCCCTTGCTCAGGCAGGAAACCCTATACCATTTCAGACAAATGACTGTCCAATCTCGTCTTAAAAACTTCCAGTGTTGGAGCATTCGCAGCTTCTGGAAGCAGGTTGTTCCACTGGTTAATTGTTCTCACTGTCAGGAAGTTTCTTGTTAGTTCTAGGTTGCTTCTCTCCTTGATTACGGTAGTTTCCACCCGTTGCTTCTTGTCCATTATTCTAATGTTATAAATCTTGATACGTTGTATTATTTCAATGCAGACTTCAGTGCAGCAATAGTTATGTATTACGCTTAAAATTTATAAATAGCAATAGCAACAACACTTAGATTTACATATCGCTTCACAGTGCTTTACCAGTCTTGTCTAAGTGGTTTACAGAGTCAGCCTATTGCCTCCAACAATCCGAGTCCTCATTTTACCAACCTCGAAAGGATGGAAGGCTGAATCAATCTTGAGCCAGTGAGACTCAAACTGCCAAATTGTTGGCCCCTGGCAGTCAGCAGAAGTAGCCTGCAGTACTGTATTATAATCATTGTGCCACCACAGCTCCCCATACTGTTATCTAGAAAGCTTAAAGTATTGAGGATAAAAAGAGAAAACTAGAAATTCTATCAGTATTAATTGCAGTTGAGGATATCATTGTTATAGACATAGATTTACAGAATAACAGAATAGCAGAGTTGAAAGGGACTTTGGAAGTCTTCTGGTCCAACCCCCTGCTCAGGCAAGAAACCCTATACCAGGGGTAGGCAACCTCGGCTCGTTTATGACTCGTGGACTTCAACTCCCAGAAGTTGAAGTCCACGAGTCATAAAAGAGCTGAGGTTGCCTACCCCTGCCCTATACCATTTCAGACAAATGGTTGTCCAATCTCTTTAAGATGTAGGTGCTTGCAGTGTTGGAGCACCTACAACTTCTGAAGGCACATTTTCCCACTGATTAATTGTTCTAAGGAAATTTCTCCTTAGTTCCAAGTTGTTTCTCTCCTTGATTAGTTTCCATCTATTGCTTCTTGTCCTACCTTCAGGTGCTTTGGAGAATAGGTTGATCCCTTCTTCTTTAGGGCAGCTCCTTAGATATTGACTAAGTTTATTTTATTTGACTCTAGGGTTATTTGTTTATATTATGCAGTACTGCAGGCTAATTCAGCTCACTGCCAGGAGTTCGATCCTGACCAGTTCAAGGTTGACTCATCCTTCCATCCTTCTGAGGTCAGTAAAAACCAAGTTGTTGGGGGCCATATACTAACTCTGTAAACCGCTTAGAGAGGGCTGTAAAGCACTATGAAGTCTGAGGGATATTGCTATTGAAGAATGAATAGGAATGGAAGTTCCTGGATTGTAGGGAGAGGAACTGCAAACCATGACCATCTGGTTCTAATTAAGCATTGGGGGGGATGGCTCAGATTTTCATATCTTATTTACTTATTAAATGTATTATTGTAATATCATACTGCTGCCTACTTAAGTTGGTTTAGCAATTAACAATTCCTTCACATCCCCATCATCCCACTCTACTATATGACATAATTTGGAAATAGAGCTGAAAAACAAATTCTGTTTCATAATACTTCAGCAAAGCCTTAAGATGTAGAAATGTACTCTTTGTCACAAAACACCCCCAGCAATCTGAGAATCCAAAAAAGTTGAATTTACGCCTACAGATTCCACACCTGTAACATCCACGGCAAAAAGTAAACTATCCTTCTATTCTTTTTTTTTGAAGCTTAACTGTTTTCTTGTTTATTTTCAAAATGCACATATTTTTATTTTCTGTATTAGTTTATCAAAATATACAGAGATACAAAGAAAAATAAAAATAATAGTAAAAAGGGAGAAAAGGGGGAAGAGGAAAAAATATAGGATAAAGGGAAAAAGAAAAAAAAAGCATTTACTTCTGACTCCATTTGGTGCTCTAGAATAAGATAATAACATATAACCTCGACTTTTTACTTTTACATAATAATTCATACCAGCCTATATATTACAACAACAAACCTATCTAATCAGCAGAATCAAAGTTTCATTTTTTTTCTACCTCAAGCACAAAGCCCAAAAGCGCTTTCCAAGTAGAAACAAAATTAATTGTATTCTTTTCTTTAATCAAAGCAGTCAATTTAGCACTATCCATCTATTCTTGATTGTGCTGTGATTGTAATGACAGGAATATATTACAGGCTAGAAAGTATGCCTTGGTATACACTGGTGAAAGCTGGCATGTTTAATTTTTACTTATTCTATTTATTTATTTGTATCCCACTTTTATTCTTTTTGCAAATTACTCAAGGGAGTGAACAATCAAATATATCTCTCTCCTCCTATTTTCCCCACAACAACAACCCTGTGAAGTTGGTTGGGTTGAGAAAGAGTGACTGGCCTAAAATCACCCAGCTGGCTTTCATGGCTAAGGTGGGACTAGAACTCCCAGTCTCCCTCTTTCTAGTCTGGTGCCTTATCCACTAGACCAGGGGTAGGCAACCTTGGCTCTTTTATGACTCATGGACTTCAACTCCCAGAATTCCTGAGCCAGCATGGCTCAGCTTGGAAGTGCTCCCTTTCCCCTCAGCATGGCTGGCTTAGGAATTTTGGGAGTTGAAGTCCACAAGTCATAAAAGAGCCAAGGTTGCCTACCCCTGCACTAGACCAAACTAGCTCTCTGCATGCAGACATATCCAAGGCTACTTTTATTTTTTAACATCTAACCTCAATCACTTTCACTCATTCTTGCCCATGACTCTTACCAATGGGTACAGCGTCAGTACCAGGAGACCACCTTGTTCTTCACTTGGTCCCCCATATCCAGCAGTCACAAGGCGTGCCACATTTTCATGGTTCATCAACGGGAGGCTGTACACGGCCCACTCAGATGCAAATTGTTGGTGGCACAAAGGAGGAAATGCCTTGATGGCCACAGGTTGCTGGCCGAAGGTTCCTTGCCACAGTTGAGAAAGTTGCCCTTCGTGGAGAAGCTGTTCCCCCCCCCCCCCAAAAAAAAATAGAGAAAAGGATCAGTTAAGTTCCTAGCAATGCTTTAGATAGGAGACTGTTGTTTTTCAACTGTACCAAGAAAATACAAACTCTTTGCACACTGATTTTATTTTCTATCCCCTATGACAGGGGTAGGCAACCTTGGCTCTTTTATGACTCCGTGGACTTCAACTCCCAGCTATGCTGGCTCAGGAATTCTGGGAGTTGAAGTCCACGAGTCATAAAAGAGTCAAGGTTGCCTACTGCTATGATATTCCCTATGCTGGTTGGGGAATTCTGGGAGTTAAAGTCCACAGGTCTTAAAGTTGCCAAGGTTGGACCTCCCTCTTCTAGATAAAGCTAGCTTCCAGCTGATACAGATAGTCCTTGACTTACAATGGCTCATTTAGTGACTGTTCAAAGTTACAACAGCACTGAAAAAAGTGACATGTCTGTTTTTTTACACTTACGACTGTTGCAGCATCCCCAGGGTCACGTGATCAAAATTCAGGCACTTGGCAACTGTCTCATATTTATCACGGCTACAGTGTCCTGGGGTCACGTGATCGCCTTTTGTGACGTTCTAACAAGCAAAGTCAATGGGGAACCCAGATTCACTTAACAACCAGGTTGCCAGCTTATCCACTGCAGTGATTCACTTAACAACATGGGACAAAACTCAATTAACAAATGTCTCAGCCACAGAATTTTTGTGCTCAAATTGTGGTCGTAAGTTGAGGACTACTTGTAATGCAAAGATGCTCTGGTACTTCCAATTTACATTAAAAAAAGGTGCTCAGATGAATCCTAGAGAGTGGAGGTATGGATACTTCTCTGACATAGAGGAAAACTTTATATATATATATATTTATCTGTCTATATTTTTTTATTTATATAAATGTTTATATTTGTCTACCGCCTAAAGCAGTGTTTCTCAACCTTGACAATTTTAAGGCATGTGGACTTCAACTCCTAGAATTCCACAGCTGGCTGTGGAATTCTGGGAGTTGAAGTCCACATGCCTTAAAATTGTCAAGGTTGAGAAACACTGGCCTAAAGCATCTTTTTAGTGATACGTTATCAGATTTTTGGCAATAAGATCCTATTTGGATGCTTTTTTAAAACTTTCAGATGAATGGTTTCTCAGGAATTTTAGAGGGTATTGGTAAAGTGGCATTAACTCTTTTGACATTTACCAGTATAATATCCGGGTTACTTTTTATTGGTGGGGGGAACTAAGGCAAGATAGGCAATCTTCAAGTATGGGTGATTAGCTTTTCTTTTTTATTAGATCCAACACGATCTGCCAACTCTAGTGAAATATTTAAAGGTGTTGCAGAAGATTACACACCTGGGCAGAAAAAAACTGGATTTGTAAAGCCTCTTCTACTGCCTCATCCATCTGATATAAACATGATTTAGGAATCATTCCAAAAGAGAAATTTTTTTTTTGAAAAACTTCCCATTTGTAGGGTTTGGTGTTCTTGCACTCCTTCAATTGAGATGTAGCAAATGCGTGGGTGAATGCCCTGTCTTTCACTGGACTATCGTGTCTCTAGCAAACCGAAGCTTCTAGCTTTCCAAATGTCAATTAAATGCCAGGTGAAGACTTCAGGAAGCAACTTCTGTATCAGGGTCCCTTTATCCATGATGCTATTATTGCTAAGGGAAATTCTTCCTTGAGAAATGGTTGGAATATCTCTTATTCCTTGGGAAATCAGAAAAAACAATTTCATGTGTCCCCAAATATTTTTAGTAGTTTTTATATTTTTATATGTGTATAAAACCTTCTATTTTTTTTTATATCAACCAGAGTCCACAGGAGTTGGGCAGACAACATATTGAAGTAAATTTTCTAATGTATACATGGTTTGATAGGAAATATGAGAGACCATTTGTGCTTACATCTTCTAGGCCAGAGGTCCCCAACCTTTTTGGCACCAGGGACCGGTTCCACGGCAAGAGGTTTTTCCACGGACCAGAGAGTGCATGGTTTTGTGTGCTGCCTGCATCCTGTGGATGGGGCTCTGCTTGTTTGTGTGGACTGGTTGCTGGCATGCCATGGCCCGGCGCTGGTCCACAGAACTGAGATTGGGGACCTCTGTTCTAGGCTTAATCTGGGAATTAGTTTTTTTCATTGATATAACTGAAATCTTCTCAGACCTACAGCAAATAATTATCTGCATTTGCTTAGAGATTCCAAACTAGTTTTCACCCAAATCTGGAATAGAGGACGAAAGAGTAGATAGTACTGGAGGAAAGACTAAACTATTACATGCTGGTTGGGAGATAGGTTCTCTAATTCTGTTACTCACAACACTTTTAGAATTAAGTACAGGTAGTCCTCAATTTACAACAGTTCATTTAGTGCAGGGGTAGTCAACCTTGGCTCTTTTATGACTTGTGGACTTCAACTCCCAGAATTCCCGAGCCAGTCCACGAGTCATAAAAGAGCCAAGGTTGACTACCACTGATTTAGTGACTGTTCAAAGTTACAATGGCACTAAAAAAAGGGACTTATGACCGTTTTTCACACTTGCAACCATTACGGCACCCCCCCCCGTGGTCATGTGACTAAAATTCAGACGCTTGGCAACTGACTCATATTTATATGACGGTTACAGCTCTCCAGGGTCACGTGATCACCTTTTGCGACCTTGTGACAAGCAAAGTCAACCAGGAAGCCAGATTCACTTAATAACCCCTTTACAAAACAATGGCAGTGATTCACTTAACAACTATGGTGAGAAAGATCGTAAAACGGGGCAAAACCCACTTAACAGCTGTCTCACTTAGCAACATAAATGTTGGTTTCAATTGCGGTCATAAGTCAAGGACTGCCTGTACTGGCAAGCATCACGCTCTGGTCAGTAGCACCTGTTCTTAGAGCTTCATAATTTGGCGCCGGATTAGTTTTTTTAGTTGTCAAAATGTGGCACTGCTTTATTTGGAATTGCAGGCCCCCCAAACAGCTGCCATCTTGACATTGCCATTAAGATAGAGAAAAAAAGCAAATTATGGCAGGACTACCACATATGGCCTGCTGAGTTCCAGGTGACCTCTAGATGGCAGCAGAGAGAGACAGAAATTCCAATGCCTGCCATGTAGTGGTCATCTGTTTTTTTTGCAGTGGATTTGATAGGCCTAGCAGCTTGGATTCCTCCCAAATTGAATCATACCTGAATGAATTGAAGATCTGGAACCTCTAGCCTGGGCAGTTTTTTCTCATCCTTTAGTTCTGAGCCTGTAGTTACCTTGTTGAGTTCTCCAGTTTCTTTTGGTCTTAGTAGCACTGCATGAACTTTCCAATGCCTTAGAACTAAAAGGTCACATAAAGAGATTCTCCCCTCAATGATATACTTCAATGTTATATTCTTCCTAAATTAGGCATATTGTAACCTATTTGAAAAAAAAATTGTTTTTTGCTATTCAAGGGAAAAGTAAAAATACAGGGCAGAGAAGCTGTACCATCTGTCCACGAGCATATAAGAAACTCCCTTATGTTGTGCTATCAAATTTTGATTAGAAAAACCCATTGAACAACCGAACGGTTTCCTAGTTGTCATCCAGATTTTTTGCATCCCAATTCTTGGTAGCCCTGTTTTAGATTGAATCGGATCACTGGTCCATTTAGCCCAGTGGTGTCAGCACTGATTGGCAACAGGTCTCCAACATGCTCATCGGGTTTTTTTTCAACTCTACTTGAGTAGACTGAAACTTGAATCAGGGATCTTCTGCATGCCCAACAGGCGTTCCATGACTGAATGCAAATTTTACACTGTATGCCCAAAAGGAGGGCTGCCACATGGTTCTGTTTTAAAATGTGTATTTTCTTGCAAACAATCGTATATATTCATGATAATGCAGGTTATAATTATGATTATATAATTCTCTAATATAATACAATCTTAAGACAAGGGTGTAGTGATGTGGACATATCTTTGCAGCTTGGGCAGCAGATTCTGACGGGTCCTTGAGCAAGATTCTACTTTTCATATCATTGCCACTTTGGTCATTTGCCGGCTTCTTTCCCTTAGAACAGAGTTCCCCAACATTTCTGGGTTTGTGGACCGGTGGGGGAGAGAAGGGATGGTTCCGTATGAGCGGCCAGTAAGCGCATGCATGCCCAGCTCCATTTGCACTAGTGGTGTGCACGCACGCCTGCTGCTCACTTAAAAGCACGTGCATGCTTGTTTACTGCTCACGCAAGTGAGGATGCACGTGCCTGCCTGCGCACTCTCCAGCCATTTCTGCGTCCCAGTTGCAAACCCCTCACAGCCCACTAGTTGGCTGCAGCCGACAGGTTAGGGACCCCTGCCTTAGAACTACCATACATCATCACTACCAAGAGCAAGAGCAAGGCCAATGGAATCTCCTGTGTGAATTTTATACAGGTAACTCTCAATTTACAACAGTTCATTCAGGGACCAAAGTTACAACATCACTGAAAAAAGTGACTTACGGTATGACCGTTTTTCACATTTACAACCGTACAGCATCCCCACGGTCACACGATCAAAATCTGGATGCTTGGCAACTGACTCAGATTTATGGATGGTTGCAGTGTCCTGGGATGATGTGACCCTCTTTTGTAATTTTCTGACAAGCAAAAATCAATGGGGGGGGGGCAGCCAGATTCACTTAATAACCGTGTTACTAACTTAACAGCCGCAGTGATTCACTTAACAACTGTGGCCAGAAAGGTTGTAAAATGTGGCAAAATGCACTTAACGTCTCACTTAGCAACATAAATTTTGGCCGTAAGGCAAGGACTACCTGTAAAAGGGAGTGGCCAGGAGGAGAGGAGAGGCACTCAGCAGTGGGTACTTTGGTTTTGCTAGTGTGCACCCAAATTTCACCCTATGGCAGTGGTTCTCAACCTGTGGGTCGGGACCCCATTTGGGGTCGAACGACCATTTCACGGGGGTCGCCAAACAACGCAGTCCGCCATTTTTTCCCCCCTTAGCTGTGCTACTCCCTTTTATTCTATTGGCTTTTGAAAGCCAATAGAATAGACTCTCTTGAATAGAGTCTAATTCTATTGGCTTTCAAAAGCCAATAGGAATTGTCCAGGCTGTCTCTGCCCTGCTAAGCCCGCCAAAAGTCCCATTCTGCAAACGGTGCTGCACGGGTTGAGTAGTCCTCGACTTACGACCGGTTGAGTAGTCCTCAACTTACGACCGGTTGAGTAGTCCTCGACTTACGACCGGTTGGGGGTCGCGGCATTAAAAAGGTTGAGAACCACTGCCCTACGGGTTTGCTCAGTGTTTTATGTTTTTCAATATAATGGAAGTACATCATCTAAATGTGTTGCCATTTTCCAGGGGTGTCCCAGATAGCAGGGCAGCTTTTCTTCACTTTTCCTATCTCAGATTCAGGGGCTTTTGCGTAGCCAACTCTTAAAATACTTTTCTTGAAATTGCAATACCTAGAAATGCTGAGAAACATAGGAGGATCAGTAGGCAGGTGACGGCGATCCAGACAATCCTGAGGGGACTAGACAAGGACTCAGCTGCAGAGATAAAACAGGAGATCACAGATGTCATATTATAAAGGGAGAAGGGGTGGAGAACATTTCAGGTTTCAGAGAAGGAGAGCATCTCTTGCAACCTATTTCCCATGCAACAGCTGTACATATTTTTTTGGCTCTAAGTCTTGGGCGCTCCTCCACATCTCCATGTGCCTATGGGCCTCTGCATGCCCATCTCCAACCTCTCTGCCCATCCTCCGTATCGGCTTCTTCTCACCCTCTCCTAGCCCTTTCCTCTGAAGTTTTAATTAAAATTAAAGCAAGGGGGAAAGGACATTTCCCTCCCTATAAGAACCAGCCCATTCCTTCTCCTCTCTGCAGCCAACATTCCTATGTCCTCCCCATAGGTTCTTGAATGTTTGAAGGCCATAATATGGCATTGCAACACTATAGAAGGTGAGGGTGAGGGTGTGTTTGTGTGTGAGCAGTTGGAGAGATGGTAAAGCAGCCGAGTGGGGAGTATGTTTTTGTAAAAGGGGACATAGAAACTATAAGGACTTTTGATTACAGAATCTAGTTCTCTCTTTTTTTTTTCTTGAAATGTGCTCAGCTACCAAGAAAGTGAATGATAGACAACTCTTAGGCTACAGAATACTGAAGCGAGAGATTAATATTCCTTCTTCTTGTAGGCTTTGATGCAAAGCCCAAAGGATAAGGAGAAAGTCCAAGCTGGAGCTCCATTTTAATTGCTGTTCTACTTAATGATTTTGGAATCATAATTCCCAATTTAAACAATTTAAATATCAGGGTGGGGGACTGTCAAGGATGGTTGGAGGTTGTTTATCAGCCGAGGAGAAGCATCTTCAGAAGCACAGGGCTGATGGAGCTTGTGGGGAGGGAACAAGAAGAAGAGAGTGAAAATGTTCCTCAAGAGTTTAGGAGCGGCTACTTCCCTTTCATTCTTTGCTAGCCTCCCTCTTATCTTTCAGTTGGATCAGGCTCTGTGTCAAATTAAAAACTGCAAGAAACATTACCCGCAAATATAGGAAGGGTCTTTAATTCACAAGACAAGATAGAAAGGAGAGAGGGAGAATGGGGGATGTCATAGAATCTCTGATAAGTTGGCTTTGAGAAGATACAGAATAGAATTCTTAGGTTGCCAGATCACGATAGTCATCTTTTTAATATACAGACTTCCCAAACTCTTCTATGAAATTTAACCCCTTCAGTGTCATCCCAAGTGAAAAGTCTAAACGTAGTTGCAGTCCCAACACCTCTAGAGGTGTTGGGACTGCAACTTCCAGTCAGCATAACTAACAGAGAGCAGCAGGTTGGAGAAAGCTGAATAATAATAGTAGTAGTAGTAGTAATAATAATAATAATAATAATAATAATAATAAGTTGGAAGGGACCTTGGAGGTCATCGAGTCCAACCCCCTGCTCAGGCATGAAACCCTATACCATTTCAGACTGTCTGAAATTCTGGCTGTCCAGTCTCTTCTTAAAAATTTCCAGTGTTGGAGCATCCACTGCTTTTGGAGGCAGGTTGTTCCACTGGTTAATTGTTCTAACTGTCAGGAAGTTTCTCCTTAGTTCTAGGTTGCTTCTCTCCTTGATCAATTTCCATCCATTGCTTCTCGTCCTGCCTTCAGGCGCCTTGGAGAATAGCTTGACTCCCTCTTTGTGGCAGCCCCTGAGATATTGGAACACTGCTATCATGTCCCCCCTCGTCCTTCTCTTCATTAAACTAGACATAATCAATTCCTCATATGTTTTAGCCTCCAGTCCCCTAATCATCTTTGTTGCTCTTCTCTGTGTGCATGAATGAATTTACTCCCATTTATATTAATGCCTTGTCTCTTGTTCTTGCCTCAAAAGGCCCCACCATCCTATAAATAGGACTACATGGCCTATTCTTTGTCCAGGTATATTTCGTTTTGCAAACAAACAGTTTTATTGGTAGGTCTTCTCTATCTCAAGAGGGTCGTTCCCCGTGTATCCTTCAAGGAGAAAAGAATAGTCCTTGATTTACAACAGTTCATTGAGTGACCATTCAAAGTTACAACAGCACTGAAAAAGACTTAAGATCATTGCACGGTCTTCCCATGGTCACATGATCCAAATTCAGATGCTTGGCAAGTGACTCATATTTATGATGGTTGCTGTGTCCCGGGGTCATGTGGTCATTTTGCGAACTTCTGACAAGCAAAGTCAATGGGGAAGCCAGATTCACTTAACAGCCATGTGACTAACTTAGTCATTCACTTAACCGTTGTGGCGAGGAAGGTTGTAAAATGGAGCAAAATTCACTTAACAACTGCCTCAAACTTAGCAACAGAAATTTTGGACTCAGTTCGGGGTTATAAGTTGAGGACTAGCTGTATATAAGGAAAATGAGAACATATACTGAACGATATATCCAGGTGCTTTTAAATGAACATAACTAAATATGTTAAACTGGTTAACATATTTGTATCCTTCTTTTTAAATGTAAGACAGCATTCAAACTGTTGCACTCTTGAAGCTCAAAACTCAATGTCCTTTTTTACCCTTGACATTTGTAGCTGTAAATTAAGAAATTAGAAATAATCTGCATCTTATTATTGTATCTCTAAAGTGGACTACAGTGTTTTACGGCTGCAGAAACTCAAAAACAACAACATTTGCTCCTTTCTTGTCCACCAGGAGATGCCATTTTATTTCCAGAAATGGAGAACCAAATAAATCAAATCCATGCCATCTCTTCCATGTTAGCCAACCCAAAAGCCTCAAATGGGCTTAGCACATTTCTTTAAGAGGAGATTTTAATCAAAATCATAATCATAAAAGTTGGAAGGGACCTTGGAGGTCATCTAGTCCAACCCCCTGCTCAGGCAGAAAACCCTATACCATTTTGGACAAATGGCTGTCCAGTCTCTTCTTAAAAACTTCCAGTGTTGGAGCATTCACAGCTTCTGGAGGCAGGTTGTTCCACTGGTTGATTGTTCTAACTGTCAGGAAGTTTCTCCTTAGTGCTAGGTTGCTTCTCTCCTTGATTAGTTTCCATCCGTTGCTTCTTGTCTTGCCTTCAGGCGCTTTGGAGAATAGCTTGACTCCCTCTTCTTTGTGGCAACCCCTGAGATATTGGAACACTGCTATCATGTCCCCTCTCGTCCTTCTCTTCATTAAATGAGACATACCCAATTCCAGCAGCTGTTCCTTATATGTTTTATCCTCCAGTCCCCTGGTCATCTTTGTTGCTCTTCTCTGTACTCTTTTGTTTGGGAGCAACAATCCTCCCTTGCACCTGAAGCCTCTCCTGAGACTAACCAGGCAGATCCCCCTCTTTTGGGCATGCAGTTATCAGCCTGACTCAGAGACCTGGCATGGGCTTTCTCGGCATCCTCAAGGTCTCTCCTGAGTTAAGTGCACTTCTCAGACAAAGACAGCTGTCCTCCCTCCTCTCCCACCACCTATCCACTGAAAGCAAGCTCTGCGTCTCTTGGTGAGCTTGCGGAAAGGAAAAAACCAAAAACTCTCAAGATTTGCAGGGCAAGGAGAAGAATAGATAAAAACAGGAAGAAGAAAGAAATGTGAAAGAGCTTCTGCATAATACTAGGGGGTGGGGGGTGGGGGTGGGCATGAGGATTCTTATATCCTTAATTTTCCTGCCACCTTAATTTTCTGCTGTGTGTGACCCATAAATCCACCCCCCACCACCACCATCCTTCCCCAGCCCATCCCACTCAGCACTTCCTTCCTGACCTCTGATTTCTTACCCGGTCTGTTTCCAGGCTTGGCGTAGCTGATGTTAGCATTACACAGATCAGAGCGGCACCTACAGGACAAGGTGATGGCAGCCGAAGAATGAAACTCACAAGCTGGAGAATCACAGGCTTCCTTTTCATTAATCCAGCAACCTGGTTTGGAGAGGACCGAAATGGGGTGGAGAAGGAAGTGAGGAGAGGAGGGAATTCAGGAGGACAATGTTCATGAAACCTTCTCTGCAAAGATGAAATCTTACCTGGCAAGTGTTGGAAAGGAAAACAGAACAGAATAGAATAACAGAGTTGGAAGGGACCTTGAAGGTCTTCTAGTCCAACCCCCTGCTCAAGCAGGAAACCCTATGCAGAGGTATGCAGCCTTGGCTCTTTTATGATTCGTGGACTTCAACTCCCAGAATTCCTGAGCCAGCCATGCTGAGGGAAAAGGGAGAGGTTTCCAAGCTGAGCCATGCTGGCTCAGGAATTCTGGGAGTTGAAGTCCACGAGTCATAAAAGAGCCAAGGTTGCCTACCCTTGCTCTATACCAGATATGTCAAACACAAGGCCCGGGGGCCAGATGTGGCCCGCGAAGTGGTTTCATGTGGCCGGTGAAGCCATCCTGGAAACAGTGAGGGAACGGCCCCCATTGCCTTGGCCCTGCTCCAGGCTGGCCGGGACCCAATGTACAATTTTATGGTGGCCATCTATGCTGAAACGCATTCAGTCTTAGCTCCACAAGGCCATCTGGAAACAGTGAGGAACCAGCCCCTGCCATGTCGCCCCCGTCCCCTGGGTGCCTGCTGGGGAGGTATCACCTTTGTGAGGAATGAAGACATGCACCATCGCAGCTGGCCACTTCCAGGCGATGGTGAATTTCTTCATTCCTCACCAAGGGCGACACCTCCCCAGCTGCGTTTCTTGCCTGTTTCTCTTCCTCCCTCATCTCAAATATTTTCCCACCACTCTGTACTTAGGAAAGAAGGAAGGAAAAGAGAGGGAGGGTCTGAGGGAAGTCCTACCTTAGTCCTGCCCTGCTGCCCTTTCACCATCCCCTTGCCCCCTCTTCCTGGCCTATCCTGGGGGTCTGCCATTCTATTGCTAAGGAAGCTTTGGATACAAAGCCGGATCTCCTCCCATGGAGAGGGAATGGGCTCCCTCTGACTTTGCCCTCGTACCCATCATGAGCCACCTGGCTAAGGAGAGCAAGCACAGCAGCAGCAGCAGCCTTGAGGAGGAGGTAAGTGCACCTGGGCGCCCCTTGGGGAAGTGGGACTAGGCTTGGTGCCTCGGGTGCTCGAGGGCCAGGCTGGGTGTTTGACCTCTGCTGCCAAGGGCTCCGGGCAGCTCGCACCACCACCAAACCCCCCCCCCCCGCATGGCCTGAGAGGAACAGTGAGGCTCCTCCAGTGGACCATGCCTTGGCACTTGTCCTGGTCCCACCCCCTTCTGCTAGAGACCCTCAGATCTGTCCCACTCCTGCCCAGACCCCCACAGGCACCCTTGACGCAAACGATGTAGAGTTGGCCACGCCCACCCAGTAGGCCATACCTACTCCATCCACGCCCACCCAGTAGGTCACACCCACCCGGCCCTCTGAGGGCAACCGCAATGCTGATGTGGCCCTCAATGGAATTGAGTTTGACACCCCTGCTCTATATCATTTCAGACAATTGCTTGTCCAATCTCTTCTTAAAAGCCTCCAGTGTTGGAGCATCCACAACTTCTGGGGACAAACCATTCCATAGCAAAGACTGTATGGGATTTAATTGGCCCTGGGTAATCTGGGGCCAATCTGTCTCAATCCTAAGGAAGAGGCAATGACAAACCACTTCTGGAAAACCTCGCCAGGAAAACTGCAGGGACTAGCCCAGGCAGTCTCCAGGAGTCAAAAACTGGGTTAATATGCCACTGCAATCATGCCCAACTCTGAGTAGGTTACAGACATCCAAAATAGCAATAAGAACAATATACAAACAGCAAAGTAATAAAATAACAGTGTAATAAATAGCATACCATATATTATAATTAGAAAACTGCTAAACAAGACTGAATCTGTTGTACAAGTTGTAGACAGTCATGTTATTATTCCCATTTTTGTATTTGTGGAACACACTCTTAAAAATATAATTAATATATCTAGATTGATAAGACACACACACACACACACACACACACAAACACAGAATCTTTGGGAGAATTCTGATAAAGCATCGAGATGTACAATTGTGAATTTCATTCATGGAAATTTATGGCAGAGAGGTCCGAACACCAGCTTTTTCTTCTACTTTGTTACTTTTCTCTATTCCCCCACTGCTTCTTTCCCTTTTGTGCTGTCCGTCAAGGAGGATAAAAATGAACAATGCACAGACTTATTATGACTGTCTCCCCTTTCCACATCTGGGAGTATCCCTTAGTTCAGTGTTTCCCAAACTTGACAATTTTAAGGCATGAGGACTTCAACTCCCAGAATTCCACAGCCAGCAACGCTGGCTGTGGAATTCTGGGAGCTGAAGTCCACATGCCTTAAAATTGTCAAGTTTGGGAAACACTGCCTTAGTTCATCCCACCATCAGAAACATGGAAAGAGTCACATCAGTAACACACCAGAAACACGGGAGAGAGGATGATCATAGATGTAGGATGCTGGAGGCCCAGTTTCACATTAAAAGGAATCCTTCAGATCTGCAAGGTCGTAAAACAGGACTGCCGCAACATTCGCATTAAATATGGGTAGGATTGGATTTTATTCCTTACAACTATGCTATAGCTGGTTCATTACTGTATTTTTATTTTAAAGCCAGAAAAAAAAAACCTTCTACTGAGACTGCAAAGGAGAGAGGGAGAGAAAGAAATTACATTCAAGGCCACTTCAGGGAGTCCGCGGTTCTGCCCGGATCTGAGTTTGGCTGTCTGAGCAGAATCAAGAATCAACTGCAAATGCTAATGTTTAAGATCCGATTTCCACAATTCATTCCTCCGCATCCCCAAAGCTATCCTCTTGGAATCTGGGATCCTTCCCAAATATCCAGAAAAAAATAGAAGGCGGGAGTACTGTGCATGCCCTCTTGAGCTCCTGAATGAAAGCCAAATCTAATAAATAAATCAAAAGATCAGCCTTCCACAATGTAGTCATATCCATATGCATTGATATTAGTCATCCCAATTGTGATTATTCTGGATGGGCAATTACGAGAGTCATAGTCCCAACAGATCTGGCCAGAAAACAATAGATCCATTTCTCTAGACCAGGGGTAGGCAACCTTGGCTCTTTTATGACTCGTGGACTTCAACTCCCAGAATTCCTGAGCCAGCCATGCTGAGGGGAAAGGGAGAGGTTTCCATGCTGAGCTAGGCTGGCTCAGGAATTCTGGGAGTTGAAGTCCACGAGTCATAAAAGAGCCAAGGCTGCCTACCCCTGGTCTATGGAATCAATCAGCGGAGAACCAAAAGTTTTCCAACCAAAAATGCCTTGCCCTCTCAGACCTCTTCAGATGACCTTGACCTCTGTTAGTATCCCTGTTTCCTTCAAACCAGATGCTCTCCTTAACTCCCTGCTCCTCTGGAAGCATTGTGTGGCATCAGACTTAGCTTTCCTTGGGGAATCCTAGCCTAATTGGCAAAAGGAATCCCATGATAGAAAATAAAGTATGGGCCTTTAAACGGGAAGATCAGGAAATGCTAAACTCTCTCCCCCCCACCCCTTCCAGCCTCTGGTAGCCCAGTGTTAAGTGTGGCTGTTAGACAAGGAAAGTAGGACTGGTGTTTTTGCTACACACTTGCATAGTGCGCATTCTGACCTTATCTTCCTCGCTGCTCTCCATGGTAACTGCAGCTCCTAGGAGTGCTTCAGTGTGGAGAAGTGAGAGAGCTCTGGATATCTTTGTAAGAAGAGCCAGTTTGCAGTTTTTTCTCAGGCAGGGAGGGGCCAAAAATAGGCTGGAATGTACTGGGCAGATTTCTAGATCAGGGCTTTTCAACCTTTTCATCCATTGTACCACTTTCAGGATATGGCAACATCCGAGTACCACCAGTCGCCTAGCAAGGTGTCAAAAACTTGATGACCCCCCCCCCAAAAGGAAAAAAGTGATGAAGTACAGGTAGTCCTCGACTTACAACAGTTTGCTTAGTGACTGTTCAAAGTTACAATGCACTGAAAAAAGTGCCCCCCAAGCCACAGCCGAGCAAGATACCTGCCTGCCTGCCGGCCGTGCTCTTCATCCTGGTCCAAGGTTTTCATTGTTGTGAGCATTTCTGTTGAGGATTGGCAGCGGGGGTGGGGTGGGGGGGTATTTGGTTTTTATTCCCCTCATCTGCTGGGTGGTTGCAGCAGGTTTTGGTCACTTCACATGACCCTGGGACACTGTGACCATCATAAGAATCTGAATGTAAATCACAAGACCCTGGAGATGCTGCAACATTCCAGCTGATCGGTGCTTCTTCTAGGCTCAGCAGAAGCTCCAGGATCAGCGCTGAACTCCAGCTGGAGCCTGGCGCTGATCCTGGTGCTTCCGCTGAACCCTGACAGCCCTGCAGCTCCAGCCATCCCTCATTCAGGCTTGTGGGGTGCTGCCACCGGTTCAGCTCATTCTCCTCCCCCGCTATCACTTTTCTAGGATGGTTGCATACCACCTGCCAGGTGCCAATGTACCACAGGTGGTACCTGTACCACTGGTTGAAAAGCACTGCTCTAGACGACTTGCAGAAGATGTGAAAGCGACTGGCCTTTCAGTTTTAACTCAAAAATATTTTGCTGGTTGTTGAAATGAAGAGAATCTCATTGCGGGTGGGGGAGGGAAGATTCAGGGGAGGAGGAAAATCAGGAAGGAGTAAATGGATGAAAAGGCTGAGAATTTTGCTCTCACTACTGTGAGAGATTTCCGATTAACGCATTTACTCTACATCCAATAGAGCAAATACCCATGCTTGTTGTTTAATACGTTTATCTTTGTTTGTCCCATTGTTCATGTCAATGCACATTTGCTCAGTGAACTACTAGTCAAACACTTAAGACCTAAGTAGTGAATCTTAAGGATATAAAGTTGGGGATTTTTTTTAAAGACCTCACAAACCTGGAGTCCTTCTTCTGTCTGCTGTTTTGCAGATATTTTGGTATATAATTCCCCAAGTTCACAGCTGGTTTTGGTTGAGAATTATGCTTCAGCATGCTTATTGGGGAACACATTTCTAGAGTTACAAACACCCCTTTTCTATTTCCTGATCTGTCTTACCTTCAAAGAAGTAAAGCTAAATATTATTAGAGTGGCTGATACCTGGGTGATAGCGGTCAAAAGAATAGAAACTTAAGAGAAGCAGATTCAAATCCTCACTCAGCTATGAAACTAATTGAGTGGACCTCAGCCAACTACTAGGGATTATTTTCTTAGCCTACTTTACCTTCAAAGGTTGTTATAAGGAGAAAATGAAACAGACAAAAGTCCTGCCAAAGTGAGTTCCTTTCATCACGAATAGAAATATAACAATCTCTCCAAATAATATCACTATGTTTAATAAAACATGATTGATGTTCCACTTAATAAGAAACTTCAGTACCTGAGATGAAAGATAATGAAGTGCGCCCAGCTACGAGATACAAGGTCCATTTATAACCCACTCTATTTCTTACTTTTAGAGAAGGCAAGTTTAAGCAACCAGAAGCATAAATCTATCAATGGAAAAGGCTCCATTTGTTTTTGGCATGCACTTACAAAGGTAAGTGAATACTTGATGACTACAAATTTCAAGGGAAGAACATACATTTCACTGAGGCAACTCCAAATTTCATGTCTTTACTTCCTATACTCCAACAGGAAGTATAGTTCAGCCATTCAGCTGATGAGACATCAGTTGACCAAAATGCACAGATCAGTCCTTAGAAGCCATATCCACACATACAGTGTCTTTAAATATGATGCATGTCAGACAAAGAACCACAGAAATAACAGTTGCATCTTTAGTTTTGCTTTCTACACTTAATCTCCATTTTCAACCTGGGTTAGCAAGATTGGTTAGTAAAATTTTAAGCTGGAGAACCTTACTTGAAGAACATAGCATGTATTTTATGATCTCTTGCTTTATGGCAAAAATATAAAAGATTTTTGATGAAATTCATACTTTTGAACAGGAGCATGTCAGAATTATTTCCCTAACTCACATATTCTTACATTTAAAAAAAAAAAAATATCCCACTGCCCTTTGTTAGCCAGAAACAGAAAACTCACAATGTGTTTGCTGATATTCTGCTTCCATTTCACCCTCACTCCCCAGGGAAGACTCCCCAGTTCCATCTTCCGTTTGTCCTCACCTTGCATCTTGGCTTGAAGTTGTCCTTGGTTCAGTTCCCAGATGCCAAAACAGCACTGGTTGTGAGGACACTGGATTGTGCCATTGCGGCCATCTTCCAAGATTAAGCCATGAAGGTGCTCCAGTCCCTCAGTCAGAGCATTGGATCCATAGGAGACACAGCTACGGTTTTTACTCAGTGCATCCATTGACCTACTTTGCTGTCCCAGCATAAAAAGCCAAAGGAGAAAGCTGTGGAACCCCATCTATTTTCCAGCAGCACCTGGTCTAGGTATGTAAACTCAGCTTGCCCGCTTTGGTGTCTCTCCTCCAGGCCCAGGTGGGAAGGACTTGGCAAGCTCCAGCGTGTGGGATGGGACTGACTCCTGTCAGCTAGTGACCATAAGCAAATGGGAGGGAGGCAATGAATGCAGTCAAAGAAGGACAAAATGAACCTCTTCTAGATCTGCCTTTATTCCTATATTTCTGGGACACTGTAAGGAAAAAAACCCACCTCCCACAAGACAGCTGCATTCATCCTAGAAAAACAACTCCCCTGCAAACCGCAAGGGGAGAATTTGAGATATCCTAGGCTGGGACATCAACTATATAGGCCAAGGACATCCTTTCAGGTTTAGATACACATGTGAATGATGCTTGTGGGAGGCAGGCAGAATAAGATTTGGAGGTAGTTATCAGCAAACCTTAAAACCCACTTAGATGGATGTGTTTAATATGTTGTATGTTTACAAGATTAGAATTTGGAGGGCGGGTATCATAAAAAACACAGCAGTACAGTATTATCAATAGGGGACAATCCACCTCCCATATATTGTATCTTGGTTACCCATGTCTAGAATATGTAGTTGTTTAGCTTTGTAGAACCAGTTAATTAGCTAGAAGCACAGATGACCCTGAGAAAGAATTCAGCTGGTCTGAAAGGCTGATTAGGGTTGGACATGGGTCCCTTCCCATCTTGATAAACAGAGTTCTGATCAAAGGAAAACTTCAGCACTATAATAATATTGCGCATTTTCATCTCATTCTTCCTCACATTTTAAAAGCTTTTCTATTTTCTACATCTGGGGAAGGATAATGGCTCTGCTACAGAACACTGTGTGTGGAAGACACCCGGGTCACATCCCCTGTGTTCTGGGGATTTCAGAAAGCAAGACAAGGAAACAGCCTACCTGAGAATTTGGAGACCTGTTATCAGTCCTAGCTGATAATTCTGAGCTATTTGGCCAACTTACTCCAGCTGCAGATATGCACACTCTCACAAGTAACAAGCCCTGTCTCAATAGAGGGGGAGGGAATACGATATCATCTATCTCAGTGTTTCTCAACCTTGACAATTTTAAGGCATGTGGACTTCAACTCCCAGAATTCCACAGCCAGCATTGCTGGCTGTGGAATTCTGGGAGTTGAAGTCCACATGCCTTAAAATTGTCAAGGTTGAGAAACACTAATTATCTCTAGTCTACAACACAGACCTTTCAGCAGTTCCAAGAAGGCTGCACACACATTTGCACTACTCAGGTGACCCTGAAGACACAGATAAACCTCCAGGTAGCACTAAGGACTAGCTGAAAGAATGCAAATGACCAGCCAGCTGCAAAGAGTATAAATCTTTCCACTCCCCACCATCTGTCAGAGCTGAAGAAGGTTCTTGGATGAGAAGTGGAACGTCTTCAAAGAAAAACAAGAAAGTCCAGTTGCCTCTTGAAAAAGCGCCTTTGGGACAACCATGACCTGGATGACTGAGAATTTCCATAGATGTGTAACAAGCCTAAACTTGGGTTTCTCAGCTCCAAGATGACTACTGTATTGTGTGTTAAGGGAAGGAGAAGTGTAGGCTAGGCTAATGTCTGTTTTAGAAGCTAGATATCCTACGTAGTAGTGCCACAAATGCTTCCTTTACAACTCCCTGGTTTCTCAACCATTGTAGTATTTGGGAGATGTAGTTGCAGCCAATCCGGAGGACACCAGTTTGGAGGAGGCTGATCAGGGGAACTGAGCACAGGGCCAATTATGGCTCTGATTCAATGACTTTCTCCCAGGTTTTAGCTCATTTTCTGTATAACTGGAATCCCTCTGTATTGAAAAATTCAGGTACATAGACATATGCATAAAACTCTTTCATAAAACTCTTCTATCCAGGACATAGCATACATAGCATATAAGCATTGCTTGAGCAGGGTCCGCAGGATTGTCTGGGACACTATACATCCTCTTCACAACCTGTTTTCCTTCTTACCTTCTGGGAGGAGGCTCCATGGTATCCGAAGTAGAACATCCAGATTCAGTCACAATTTTGTTCCATACAGTATTAACCTTGTGAACTCTCAAGTTTCTTCTTTCCGCTATGTATTCAAGATGGACAGTGATTAACATTTGTATTCATTTATATGTAAGGGTTAAGTATATACATATGTATGTATGTAGCATGTCAATAATGATGATGATGATGATGATGGAAGGGATCTTGGAGGTCATCTAGTCCAACCCCCTGCTCAGGCAGGAAACCCTACACCATTTCGGACAAATGGCTGTCCAGTCTCTTCTTAAAAACTTCCAGTGTTGGAGCATTCACCGCTTCTGGAGGCAGGTTGTTCCACTGGTTAATTGTTCTCACTGTCAGGAAGTTTCTCCTTAGTTCTAGGTTGCTTCTCTCCTGGATTAGTTTCCACCCGTTGCTTCTTGTCCTGCCTTCAGGTGCTTTGGAAAATAGCTTAATTCCCTCTTCTTTATGGCAGCCCCTGAGATATTGGAATACTGCTATCATGTCCCCCCTTGTCCTTCTCTTCGTTAAACTAGACATACCCAATTCCAGCAACCGTTCCTTATATGTTTTAGCCTCCAGTCCCCTAATCATCTTTGTTGCTCTTCTCTGTACTCTTTCTAGAGTCTCAACATCTTTTTTACATCGTGGTGACCAAAACTGGATGCAGTATTCCAAGTGTGGCCTTACCAAGGCATTGTAAAGTGGTATTAATACTTCACGTGATCTTCATTCTATCCCTGTTAATGCAGCCCAGCACTGTGTTGGCCTTCTTCGCAGCTGCAGCACACTGCTGGCTCATATTTAAGTGATTGTCCTCTAAGACTCCGAGGTCCCTCTCACAGTTGCTACTATTGAGCAAGATACCCCCTATACTATACCTGTACATTTGGTTTTTCTTGCCTAAATGTAGAACCTTACTTTTTTCACCATTGTTGGTGTTATGTATGTGTTATGTATGTGTACACTTTTGAGAGCAGGGAACAGAATTTCATTTTTAATGTGTGCCAGTGTGACCACAGTAAAAAATGACAAAAAAAGGTATCTTATCTAAAATAGGTACACCACACAAATGGATAGAGAATATGATTATGTTATGACTATTATTCTAAAAAGCCATGTTTAGTTTTTAATTACTGTAGCGAAAGATGAATGTCCTGTATTATTTATTGTTACAGTCAGAGTGATGTTTCAAGTGATACCAAAGATGCTTTTTCATGAGGCAACTGGACTTCCTTGTTTTTCTTTGAAGATGTTTTGCTTCTCATCCTAGAAGCTTCTTCAGCTCTGACTGGATGGGGGGGAATGGAAAGATTTATACTCCTTGCAGACGGCTGGTCATTTGCATTCTTTTAGGGAGTCATTAGTGTTACCTGGAGGCTTATTTGTGTCTTCGGGGTCACCTAAATAGTGCAAATGTGTATGGAGCCTTTTTGGAACTGTTAAAAGGACTGTGCTGTAAATTGGAGATAGATGATGTCATATCCCTCCCCCTCTGTTGACAAAGGCCTGTTCAATTTTGACACAGATGGCCTCTTTGACTCTTCTTTCAAACCAGCGGTCCTCTTTGTCCAAAATGTGGATTTTGCTGTCTTCAAAAGAGTGGATTTGTCTTTTAAATGCAGATGGACTGCTGATTTTTGTCCTGATGGATTTGCTCTCCTCAGGTCTCAGAGACAGCTGCTAGTTTGAAAGAGGGGTCAAAGAAGCCATCTGTGTCAAAATTGAACACCCTTTCTCAACAGAGGGGGAGGGATATGACATCATCTATCTCCAGTCTACAACACAGTCCTTTCAACAGTTCCAAGAAAGCTCCACACACATTTGCACTACTCAGGTGATCCTAAAGACACAGATAACCCTCCCGGTAGCACTAATGACTCACTAAAAGAATGCAAATGACCAGCTGTCTGCAAGGAGTATAAATCTTTCCATTCCCCACCATCCAGTCAGAGCTGAAGAAGCTTCTTGGACAAGAAGCGAAAAGTCTTCAGAGAAAAACAAGAAAGTCTAGTTGCCTCGTGAAAAAGCATCTTTGGGATAACAGTGACCTGGATAACTGAGAATCTCCATAGACATTTCAAGTGATGTGGGGGAAAAAAATTACGATCAGCTGCTTCATACAACTGGCTTAGTACGTGAAATCAGCAACAATGTAATGACAAATTTTCTCATAGACAGTTTACCAAAAAGATTACAATTTGAATGGATATCTGATTGCAAGCACTATGCTCTAATCATGCACTATTGTGAGTCAACAGACAGAATGGACACCTGTGTAAAAGGATAAACTATTTTTATAAAATTTATAATTAAAAACCTGCCTTTTGGCATTGGAATATGTTCTGTGGCAACTTTTAAAAAAAAATTAAAAAGGCACCTGGAGGCAGGCGAGAAGTAACAGATGGAAACTTGTCAAGGAGAGACTCCATCTAGAACTAAGGAGAAATTTCCCGACAGTGAAAATAATCAGGGGAATGACTTGCCTCCGGAAATTGTGGGTGCTCTAACACTGGAGTTTTTTAAGAAGAAATTTGACAGTCATTTGTCTGAAATGGTATAGGGTTTCCTGCTTGAGCAGGGGGTTGGATTAGATGGCCTCCAAGGTCACTTCCAACTCTATTATTCTGAAAATATAGGGACAGGCATTGGGAAAGAGATTGATATCTCAATACTTTTCCATTGAAATTCCCAAGGTATTTAGAATTTTGTTGGAAATTGCTATGATGGCAGGGGACCACAGCTTTTATGTGAGAATTTCCCATAGGAAAAGTGCATTTCCCAAGCTTGATGATCTCCAAAAAATATGGAATACAAGTCTCAGAATTCACAGCTACTTGGCCGTTTGACTAGACATCAGGGCTGCTCTTAAGCCTACATTTAAGCCATGATGGCTAAGGAGTTAAAGTCCAAGATATCCACAAAGATTAGGGAAGTCTGATCTATATGGTTTTATCCAAAGCAACTCCTTAGAGTATATTTCTCTCAGATGTCTCAAGAACCATTTTCCCATCCAATAGTATACAAGGATTTCTGTATTCTCCTATTTCCTTTTGGTCGCTTAAAAAACATATTCCCCCAATGGCATAAATAGAGCTGAAGCATCCTTGGTTGGTTGTTTAAACACTTCTGCGGAATGCATTAATTTACTGGCTCCGCTTCACTTTACTGTTCTGATCATCTCAATGCTCTGTCATATTTAGGATGATAAATACAGTAACTTTGCTGTAGTCAAAGCATACTCCTCCCTTTTCAGTTCTCAACACTGGTCCTTCCCACGTTTGCCTGTATCCGCACATATTAAAAACAATAAATATTCTTCAAATAAGGACATGGGTGTCTTATTTTCTTTGCACTAGAATCCTGAAGATCGAACGAAGTGGCGTAAAATTACAAAGAATCATCTCAGAATTGCAGAGCTTAGTTATGCCAGCTCAGAGGGACAGAAACTGGTCTCCAGGTGTTATCTTTGCTCACCTGGCTGGTGCTGCTGGGATTGATGGGATTAATCCAGAAGGCCTAGCTATCCCATCGTAATTAGCTGTTAAGTAATCTTGGTTATCTCAGGGGCATTAGTATCTTGATCAATACTCAAAATCTTTCAATGCATCCTAGCAAACAGCAGACAGAAAACCCTGTGGGGGGGGGAGGGGGAAGGACAAATGATCTCTTGCTTCCAACCAAGAATATTATCTGGATTATAAAGCCTGCTGTTTTATTTGTAGTACACAAGCCACAAGCAGTCACAAATTTATCCAGGGTAGTCTCGAACAGGTTTTGCTTTGGATCTGAGTTGAAACTAACACTTCAGCCAAGGCCTTTATCAAATTCTCTCCAAGTACCGACAACTAATATTTTTCTAAATATTTTTTTTTTAAAAAAATACCAGTCCCCTTCTGTATACACTTTTTTGTCCTAGTTTTTATTCTGGGTTTCTGAAATTATTCAGTGGTGAAAGAAAAGATGACTTTCCTACAGCCAACATAGCAATGCTGCCCCCTTGAGTTAATTGCAGTGTAAAAACAGCCATCTTTGGACAGAGCCCTCTGATTAGAACAGCTGTTCTCAACTTATGGGTCGCGACCCCATTTGGGGTCAATCGACCATTTCTCGGGGGTCGCCAAATAAGGCGATCTGCCATTTTTCCCCCTCGGGGGGGCACCACCGCGCATGCGCGCCTCGCATGGAGGCGCCGCCACGCATGCGCGGCACATTTGTCTGATGGGGGTCGCCATCACACAAACGTTGAGAAGCACTGCATTAGAATCACTACCGTACCTTCAGCTGGAAGTCCTACCTGAAGCACCAGTCAGAAGTTGCTTTTAATTTTTATATATTTTTTTAAAAAAAACAATTTGATTTGTTTTTATCGTTGTTATATGAGAATTATCCTCTGTCTCCGAGTCAGAGAAAAGCACAAAAGGATATATGCAAGAAAAACAATAGGGATTTGGGGCCCTGACAGAAGGACAGATATTGCAGCGTGCTCAGAGAGACCTTACTTTCACGTAAAGTAACGCAGACTATCTCTTTGTACAAAAACGATTCTTTCATATGATCTTGCAGATCGGTGGCCAACAAAAATATTAAGCTAAGAGTTTTCTGGAAGGGGCAGGGTTGGAGCAACAACATGAGCCAGCAGTGTGCTGCAGCTGTCAAAAAAGCCAACACAGTGCTAGGCTGCATTAACAGAGAGATAGAATCAAGAACACATGAAGTGTTAATACCCCTTTACAATGCCTTGGTAAGGCCACACTTGGAATACTGCATCCAGTTTTGTTCACCACCACGATGTAAAAAAGATGCTGGGACTCTAGAGTACAGAGAAGAATAAAGATGATTAGGAGACTGGAGGATAAAACATATAAGGAACGGTTGCTGGAATTGGGTATGTCTAGTTTAATGAAGGATGAGGGGAGACATGATAGCAGTGTTCCAATATCTCAGGGGCTGTCACAAAGAAGAGGGAATCAAGCTATTTTCCAAAGCGCCTGAAGGTAGGACAAGAAGCAACGGATGGAAACTAATCAAGGAGAGAAGCAACCTAGAACTAAGGAGAAACTTCCTGACAGTTAGAACAATTGACCAGTGGAACAACCGGCCTCCAGAAGCGGTGAATGCTCCAACACTGGAAATTTTTAAGAAGAGACTGGACAGCCATTTGTCTGAAATGGTATAAGGTTTCCTGCCTGAGCAGGGGATTGGCCTAGATGACTTCTAAGGTCTCTTCCAACTTATTATTTATTATTATATTGTGTTGTTTAATAAGCAGAATTATACACTCAAATTTGCATGCACAGTTGGTGAAGAACATTTGAGCATTTTATAATATTAACTATGCTCTTGTTCCCCAAAACAAAACAGAAATCTCTACATGTTTGAAAAAAAACGAACACGTGCTATGTATTTATATGTTGTCAGGAATAATGTGTGTAGCAATCACTGAGGGTGTCTTCTTTGCTTTTTGGTTTTTCCCCCCATTGAACAAAGAGCATTTCCAAACCAATTAATATTATTTTTGGTTATATACAATTTTGTGGATTTCCCAAAGGGGAAATAAAAAGAAACATTTGGTACATTTTTTAAAGCTTACTTTGATCCAAAAGAACATCCAGCACTACCAAGCAAATTTATTTATTGATTCGTGGATCAAATTTTTTAAAACTACTTATCTCTATAGGGGTGTGTCCTACCTGTAGAAACAACAATGAACAGTAAATCAAACAGTAAATCAAACCAAAGGAAGGCCCTTGGAAAAATATAAAACAGTGAGTGAAAAAAAAATCAGAACAACCTATCGGTAGCAATTTGGCCAATTGACATGAAACTGTCAATAACATCAAAACTGACAGGCACTTAAGAAGCCAATAAAGATTTTAGAATTTAGGCTGGTGTGTAGATTCATAACTAAACAACTCATTATATTAATTCAAGAATTGCAAGTCAAGGTGGAGTATCTTAACATCCGAAGGCACTTTGTCTAGGACTCCCAGAACTGGAAGAACAAGGGGGCATAATTATTTCTCCAATGACTCAGGTAAAATTTGTCCTTTCTGAAAATTTATAACTTGGGTCACTAAACAAATAATTGTACAAGGGCTATCTGTACAGAGACTATGTGTCCCCCAAAATAAGATACTTAACAGACTATTTGGCCAACATATTGTTGCTTCAGTGCCACAATGTAGGAAGTCTCCGATCACTATTGCATCATTTTCTCCTCTTGGGGATAGGGAGAAAAATCTTTCTCTTTGCCGAATGTGTGAAGTCTCCTTCCTGAAACTTGTAGCAAGGTTCAACCAGGGGTCCATCTGAATCTCAATTCTAATTCAAATTAATCCGTTACGGACTCAGCCAGCAACAGGCAATAATAAAATCAGCAACACCAGTAAAATGTTTTATAGATGGCACCTTGATCCACAAAAAAAGTCTCGTATGTATCCAAACCTGCAGCCTAAATGTTGGAGATGTGGTTGCTTGGATGCTACTTATTATCATATCTGGTGGTCATGTAAAAGTATAAAAGCTTTTTGGATTAAGATATGGTGGAATATTCAAAGAATTTTTAAAAGAAGGATAAAATTTACTCCACAATTGTTTTTATTGGGTATTGTTCCGGATTGTGATAACAAAGAGATTATTTTAATGTTAAATTTAATTACTGCGGCTAGGTTGTTAATAGGGCAATATTGGAAGAAGGAATTTTTGCCTACTTTGCAAGAATGGTTTTTTTAAAGTTTCTTACTTAGCGGAAATGGCAAAAATTTTGGCTTTCTTGAAAGATCAATCGCAAGAGAAGTATCTCTTGGTGTGGAAAAGATGGATAAATTTTATACAATATAAGTATAATATAAGAAAATATTATCTAGCTTTCGAATAATTTATATTTAAAGTTTAAGATACTATATAGAAGTGAAATTATTATTATTCTTTAATTTTTTATTTTTTTATTTTTTTATCTTCTCTTTTTTTTCCCTCTTTTTGTTTTTTATATATAATGGAGTTAAAGTATTTTACAATTTGTTTATTGAGTGTAATTATATTTGCTTAAGGTTTATTTGGGCTTAAAACTTTTTTTCTTTTAAGTTCTAGTTAAGCCTGTATTCAGCTCTGGGAAGAATGGGGGAGGGTTTTGGGGTGGGTTGGGAGGGATTGGGGAAGGGGTTTTTATTGTAAAATTTTAAATTTTTTTAATAATAATAAAAAAAAAAAAATAGCAACACCAGGAAAGGAATAGCTTTAAAACAGGGCTCCTCAACCTTAGCAACTTTAAGACTTGTGGACTGCAACTCCCAGAATTCCACAGCCAGCTTTGAAGGCCACAAGTCTTAAAGTTGCCACTGTTGAGGAGCCCTGCTTTAAAACGAAAATACAAAGAATATCATTAATTGGTTCCGTGAGATGTGAGGAGTATCAAAAGCAATGAATACTGAACATTTATCTCTCAACCTTGACAATTTTAAGGCATGTGGACTTCAACTCCCAGAATTCCACAGCCAGCAATGCTGGCTGTGGAATTCTGGGAGTTGAAGTCCACATGCCTTAAAATTGTCAAGGTTGAGAAACACTGATGTAGTGAGTCACAAGGTAGCAGACAATGACAAGTTCTAGCTTGTGCATTGAGTACTTAACAATGAGTACTGAGACAAAATTTTCGCCTCCAAATTTGTACCAAATTCAATGAGGTTCAAAACAATCAAGTACCAAGGCACCACTGTATTTTAGTAAGAGACTGGAAAACATAACCCCCGAAAGAGCAGAAAAGGGGAGAGCTTCCAAGAATCAAAATTCCTACGCTCTGGTACGCTTAGAAGAAAGTCCACACCCAAAGGTTGTTATGGGGCCAGTTTGGTGTAGTGATTAAGGCAGCAGGCTAGAAACCAGGAGCTTGTGATTTCTAGTTTCTAGTCCTATCGTAGGCACAAAGCCAGCTAGGTGACTTTACCAATAGAAGCGAATAAATGTACAGTAGCTCAGAATTAAACTATGGAGTCCTTGGTACTCTACGAGCTTGGTTGTTGTAACGCCATCAATGCTAAGTCAGCGTGGGGTTTGCTTACTCTGTAGCTTACTCTGCCAGCATTGGGGGACAAGTGGCTTTCTCCTTGCTAGTTCTCAATTAGGGTTCAATCAAGCAGAATGATTAGCCATCAAGCAGAAAACAAATTGTATGGTTTTGTTTATATTCATATGATTTATCAAATGCACTGAAGAATTTGATTGCCGACCTAAGATATACCAGTAATAACACTTTTAAAGGGACATATTTTGACCACATTCTGTTGTCATGTGAATTTTTTCTTACACTGTGTAACTTTCTTACTAGTGAAAGAGTTTAGCTTTTTAATTGTATTCATAAGACAATGTTGCTTCAGCGTCTCATTTATTTTCAACCAGGACTCTGAGCCTCATGTGGATCCTGTAAAATTAAAAAATTAGAAAATTAAGGTAGAGGATACTGTAGTTCAGTACTGTATCAACATGTTTAAGGAACACTATCAGTTGTTTAAAACTTGGCTGTCAGTGTCCATATTAAAATATGAAGCCAGCAATGTAAAGTAACCAGAAATATGAAACAATATGAAATCATGATTTTGCAGTGAGTTATAGCAAAATACTGGGGCAAAGTAGAAGAGTAAAGACATACACAATCCATATGGCCAGCCAGATTAAATACAAACTCTGTAGATACTTGTTTATTCCTTTCATTTAAAAAATGTAATCAGTATACAAAGGAGGCAAACTATTTTAATCTTTGTACAAAAATAGCACTTTTTAAAAGTGTTTCAGACATCATTACATAGGTAATTGGATTTTTTTTTAAAAAAAGCATATACATTATTACAAGATAAAACAAACAGTCTTTTACATAGAATAGACAAAATTATTTTATTGCCAGTGTTACAGGTTGGCTTAAGTGACTGCAGAGCTGTGCTATAAGCACCAGAAAAACAAAAATTAAAAAAAAAAAACACGCATCCACCTTAGATCACTTCTCACCTCCCCACTTCCTGGGAACAAATGTAGAGGCAGCGATGTTACTATGGAAGAGAATTACAAGCTGTTGGAGATAATGTAAAATTGTTGTTAAAGATTATCAGAGTACATGCATTATTGAATGGAATCTGAGCTGAAATTCCCTCCTGCTCAACTACCATCACAAAGCACGGGGAAAGCAAGTGCTCATCTTTTTCCCAGTGGATTAGGAAAATTAAATTAATTATTGGACTCTAGTGGCCCATTTAAACTGGACTGTGACAAGATTTAATATAGAAAAGTCTGGCTAAAGGCACAAAATGCTACAGAGATCTCTTAAGGCTGATGGCATTGGCTTAACTATATACAATTCTTGTTTATAAAAGGCAAGGCACATTTTAGTCCAAAAAACAGCATTGCAAGTAATTTTAAGATAATATAAAAATTAAACAGGCTTTACCATCTGGAAGAGGGGCGTTCCTTTTCTGTACACATTTTATGTTAAGGCCAGTTTACATAAACAGAGGCTCAGGAAAGCTTTTCCCAGACCCAGCTTGCAACTACATGTTTAAATGATCTTCAATTAATAACGTTCTTGGAATTGAGACACATTCACACATGCAGCATACATCCAAATAATGGCTACCCTGCCCTCTCTCACTGGACAGTCACTTTCAAAATTCATGAAGCCCTTCCATCTATGATGGGAAAGTATTCAATAAGACAACAAACCTCACCCTAAAAAAAATAACCTCCGGAAAGGGATGCTCTTTCTCTCTCTCTCTTTTTTCAAACACAACTCAAGTCTGCCAATAGTGCTGATCATACAAATAACTGAGCTTTGTTTTGAGCATACACACACAGCAAAGAATGTTATTTTAGCTTTTGTATGTGTAAAACTGAACGGTGCCTTTGTAAGCAGAGGCCATCTTTTGGAAGCAACAGACATTCTCAACCCAAGCAGATAACCAAGGATCATGCTATCATTCTGACCGGATCACAAGAACGGTCACTGCAGACAATGTTATAAAACAAAACTGAAAATGAGGGGAAGGTGGGACCAAATGGGGGACGCGCTGTCGCTTAAAAGTGTGGACAACTCTTTTCTTAAAATCTAAAATGATAAACACTCCAAAGGGAAACAGAAGGTAGAGGCCAGATCTTCCTGCACCAAAGACTTTCCTACATGGCTACTCACACACAGAGAGATCAAAATTTTCCCAGGGCACTATTTCAAATGGTAGTAGTATGCATCTCTTGTGCATGCAAGCAGACATAATAAACAGTCATGGTTACGTTAAGACTTTAAAGATCTGAGTTCTTGTCTTATTGAGAGATAAAACTAAATGATGCAAGCAAAGCTCTTTTGCGACAGAAGAGAAATATAAGTGATGCTATGATACGGGTGGCAATTCATGCCCCAGCACATAAAATAAAAACTAAACAGGAGTTTAGATGGAATGCAAAATTCGAACTTCAACACAGTGCTACTGAAGGAGTCAAGGAGACAAACGAGGTGGTCAAGTCAATGATAATTTCCATAGAAAACTTTTGATTTTAACTTTTTTTTTTTTGAGTTCCAGGAAAGGCACTTACTGCATGTTTTTCTGTAAATTTTTCTGTAACTGCTATTATGTTCAGTGATAGTATACATAAGAGCCTATTTCAGACAATATTATTTACACACGAAAGAAGAAAAAAATATGACCTGAGTTGAAAATTTCTCCTTGGCTGAAGACCAAAAGAGCATTTTTAGGTCAGAGTGGAGGGTGGGAAAAAAGAGGGACACATACGTAAGGAATTCAATGCTACTATGCAATATAATCTTTGTAAAGACCACTTTCCTCAATACTCTGCTAAATATTTGGCATATACCAAGCATATATTTACTTTGGACATTGCAGAGAATACCTTTGATTCTAGCAGAAGCTCAGAAAAAAGCGTATGACGAAAAGGCACAATTGCAATTGTCACCGGGTACTGCAATGAGATACACCACTTAGGGAGAAATAAATACGGCAATCTACCAAAGGACCTAAAATCCCCAGTATTCCCCAAACAGAATTCTTCCATGCTCCCAGCCTACTTTTAAGATTTAGGTTATTACTAACAAAAATGCTCACCCCCCCCCTCAAAAGTAATGAGATTTATAACAGCATCTTCCCTTCCTAAGGTGTTCATACTTCAGAGATTTATTGGGTTTCTATCACTAACTGGAAACCCTACTTCTGGCTTCCTGACTTGTAGCAATAGCTGTAAACTAAAAAGTTTCATTTACAGATTTATAGATGGATTCCTTCTACAAGTCACATTGAACTGAGTGGGAAAGTAACGTCCAAAATAACAAAACTGCCTGGTGCAAGTTTTTTTTTTTTTAAAGGATGCCGTTTTCTCATTGGCAAAAGTGTGTAAATATGAATAGACAGGCTTTTTCAAATGTAGCACTTGAAAAAAAATGCTACTGGTATTTTCTGTAGCAGAAAAAAAATGATTAGATCATAACAGCATTTCCATTAACACCACATCTGCTAAGAAAACAGATACTTGAGAATGGATGCTATTAACAAGCACAAATCTGGCATTATAGAGAAGTTTAAAGGGGGAAAAAAAATCAGCTATCCATTCAGATAGTGGGAACTATCCTGCAATCTTTCATAAGCATATACATGTTGTATGTGTGTATAGTAAGTTTGTGTGTGTAAACAAAGATGTCAATGAGTTCTGTAGCATTTTAATTTTTTTTCTTAAAAAAAAAAGCCACCATGTTTCTACTTTCCCAAATTTGAAAATCAGACGATAACTTATGGCATCACAGATATCATACTGCTCCCCACCCCCCAGCCCAAAACAATTACTGCAACTAAGACATTCTTGAAGCAGGGGGTTTAAAATAGCAGGAATAAGCCAGCAACTTGAGGTATGAGGCAGTTTATTTATTGCTGCATACTGTATGGGACTAAATTATCTAGAACATCAAGCTTCCCTTCACTATGGCAAATAATAATCCAATTAATTTAGTTAAGAGTATTGCAGTACTTGAAATCTATCATAGTAAAAATCATCTTCTATCAAGATGATTACAATCCTTGAGTCTCTGGAATATCCAACTTCAAGACCCTAAAACCTTCTCTTGCTTTTGAAGCAATATTGAGTTTGCACCATATTAGAAATACAATCTGCTTTACCTCTGATCTAACAGCAGTACCTGGAAGACCACAAATCCCTACTACTGTGACAAGGAAATTCTTTCTTAATAAAAATGCTTGAGTTACAGCTACTTACTCAGTCCTCCTGGTGGTACGTTACTTTATATCTGTTGTACGTTTCTTACATTCCTGGTATAAGTCTGTCCTTTCCAATCCATCAAAATGAAGAGAGAAATCACTGAGAAAAAGGGAAAAGGCTAAGCAAGGAGTGATAATTTCACCTCAGCCAAAGTAAATTGAGCAAAATCATCAATTCATCAGTACAAACAATTCACAAGCACTACAGAAGTCAAATATTTACACCATGGCTTTCTTATTTTTGACATGTGTTAAAATGCTCATGCTTTTTGGTCTTGTTTCCATCCTCTCTCAGCTCAACAAACAGCATTTGTGAAACAAGAATATTCTTTTTAAAAACTCAATAAAAGACTGGGAAAGCGCTATCCAACTCCAGGCAAGGGACTCCAAGGATCTGCAGGTGCAAACACCTGGACAATTGTGGGGACGGTTAATCTTAACTCTAGCGTTGTCCTGAGGAAGGAAAAATGATCTTTTCCCCTGTCCCTGACAAAAGTGATGTCATAATTCAGCTCTGCTAAACCACTGCAATATATGAGTGTATATATATCATATTATATATATCATATCACATCATATATATATCTCATCATATATATATCTCATATGATTCTGGTACGGCTCCAGATAACATAATAAAAGGAAAATAGAACAGGACATGGCAAGAGGGGCATCCAAATGTTACCAACACAACACTTTATATTGAAGGCAGAGAAAAACAATAAACTGGTTTTATATGCTACTGAGGAGTGAAGTGATGACAGAACTTCAGAGCAAAGCAACGGAAAACCACAAAGAATGGCCAGCTATAAATACCCCAGCAACAATTCATGGACCCTTTTGTGAACTTTCTGGGACATAGCAATTTACCTTGCACATGACAAGTACTGAAGTATGCAAGAGGCAGGAGCTTCATGAAGGCTATGTGACAATTGAAGATTTCCCTCAATACTTAGTAAAAAAAAAAAAATCTGTCATGCTACCTTGTTTTTAATTAGCAGAGGGGAAAGGACATAGGACCGATCAGCCGAGTGATCTGGTAAGGTACTAAACAGACATGTCTAAATGGTTCACACTAAACAGAAGAGGTTTTAGGAATGATGCCTAAACTGTCTGAAGACTTACTGGGATGGGAGGTTGAGGGTCATAAGGCTCCGTTCCTTAACAGAGATTCTTTAACTACTTTCAAGCCTCCCTTTTCCTCCCCGTCTCTTTTTATCTCATAAGCACTGGTCTTCACTTCATTTCTGTGGTATTTGAACCACTTTAGTTCCCTTTGTTGCAATTTCCTCATAATAATTGTTCTCATAAGGATGTATGTAACCTCGTAAAGGGAGCAGGCTGGCTAGCAAGCACTAAATTGCTAAAAAGTTACAAATAGGAGATAAAAAAAAGCCAATTCAGAATTTATTCTCAATGGAGCACCCAGCAACTGAGCCAAATATTGGGCCATTTGTCAATTTGGAAAGAACTGGGCAAGTCCCTTAAGTGTTTCACAGCAATGCAGTATCTCAAGATAAAAGAACCCAAACGTACATTTCTCCTTTAACTACATGGCTGTAGCATTTGTCAAGATCTTAAACAAAAGAACAACAGAGTCCAATACTATAGTTCCAACTTGCGCTACAGTACAATGGCTTGAGTTGAACCATAACATATATAAAGATCTCTCCACCACACCCTTAAGATTCCTGGTGTTCTTAGAGCACAAATACTTTAAACAAAGAAGATTCACTGCTTCATGCTAGGAACTAAAAAGAATTCCCCTTCGGCCAAAAGTTGAATTCATGCATTTGGAAGGCGAGGAACATAAAATTGTATGTCATGTCTTCATCTTTCCTTAGGGTCAGTTTCCCTTGCAAGTTCAGAACACACAGTGGGTCATGGACCCTATCACTTTGGGTAGAAAAAAATGATGACAGGGACCTTAAATAGACACTCTTTTCTCCAAATAGAGAAAAGTGGAAATTATCAGGAAGTAACTTTTAGGTATGAGAGTCTAATCAAATAAGGGAAGAGAACATTGGGGGGGGGGGGAGAGAGAAACCTAAAAGTTAAGCACAAGAAAAGCTAAATTTATATTTTTATACTTACAATTAAAATGCAATATAGCATCTGAACATAAGCCTGAACGCCGTTTAACAGCTCAATAAGTTCCAAGTTAAGGCATCTGAACTACAACCAAAGACTTTGGTTGCAGCACTTTTTAATCTCTTTCATCCAAAAGAACATATTTTATAATTTTATATAATTACAATAATAATAACAATAATAATATAGATTTTTTTTCTGCTAAAAAGTATTTCAATGATCATATACATTTAGAACCAAGGCATGATGGCTTTGGGGTACCTAATAAAGGTGAAGAGACCTAATGGGGGGAGGGGAAGAAAAAGCAAAACAAAATTAATCAATCAATCAGTTCTGGGCCATCCCCTTTTCCCAAGTATTCACTCTAGGCATCACCAGGCTGAACTATACAGCAAGCAGACCCTATTCTGCACACAATATTCCCGGGAGACAGAAAAGGTATCTGAAAGCTAGATGTGGCAGCTGAGTCCCCATCTTCCGTCACCTGAAAGGCATCTCTTGGACCTTGAGAATCCCACGTTTGTACACTATCAGACAGATCCTCAAAATCCATTGCCACTGATGTTGATCGACTGGAGATCGGCCACTTGCATGACATTGATGCCACTGCTGGCAAGGCGTGCGATGCCTTCTGGGCAGATGGCTTCCATGGCCACCATATTGGTTGCAATGAGGGCTGAAGGGGCTGCTCCACCGGCGCTCTCCGTAGAGGCGTTTGCATCGATGGAGACGGCAGAGACGTCCATAGCCACGCTGTTGGGTGCGCCTGCCTTCTTGTTTTGGTGGGTCTTGATGTGCTTGGAAAGATGATCGCTCCTCATGAAGCGCTTGGGACACTCGGGACAGGCAAACTTTTTCTCTCCTGAAGAAAGAAAACAGTCATGAAGCCATTCCGTTTCATTAAAACATGGTAGCCCACCATCTTCCCATCAGGAACCGCGTCCTCTTTTTAGAGAATCGGCAAAAAGTGTATCAAACCACAAGCAGACTTGGTATCGTTCACACTCTTGTAACCTCCAGTTTAGGTTACTGAATTGGGCCTATGCAGGACCCTACTTAGAGAAAATACTTACGAAGGGCAAACTCAATGACACCTATTCCAGTTCTATTTCTTTCTCAGAGCAGTACAAACCTTATTATTTTTAGAGCCTTATTTATATCAAGAGAAGCTTTTATCCATATAAGCCTCTTCTTAAGATCTTCAGGGACATCTATATACAAAAATTAATAACAATGCCCTATGTGGGAGCCTATTTTGCTCTGGCTTCTTTTTGGAGAGTAGATTTCCTTAGAGACATCTGTCTTATACTATCCAACTATACCAGTCATATGCCTATTAAACACTTGCTTTTCCCCATTCTATGAAAATATTTCAGTTTTGTTACCTTCAACAAATATTAGGCATCCAAATAAGTTTTTACAAAGTAACCTCTAAAAATAAGAGAGACATTTTAAATGCCACGTCCTTGCATAGTTTATTTTATTTTATTTATTTATTTATTCATTAAATTTATATGCCCCCCACACTGCAAAGTGACTCTGGGCGGCTTACAATAAAAATCATAGATATTACAATATTAACAACAGTAGATACAAAATTAAAAACCAATTCTTAGGTTTCAATTTGAAAAAGGTCCAGTTTTATTATTGATTTGGTGAAATTTTTACTGAATTGAATGTTCCCACATGATTCTGGCCATTATTTGCCCATTCATATGACTCTTGTTTTATATCCTGGTTAATTATTCTTCCTGACAGTTAAAACAATTAACCAGTGGAACAACCTGCCTCCAGAAGTGGTGAATGCTCCAACACTGGAAGTTTTTAAGAAGAGACCGGACAGCCATTTGTCTGAAATAGTATAGGGTTTCCTGCCTGAGCAGGGGGTGGGACTAGATGACCTCCAAGGTCCCTTCCAACTTTTTATTATTATCGATCATCGCACAGTCAGCCAGATGTTCAGACTGGATTTGGCATTTTGTCTACCTATCGAGTCCTTACCCAGGACCTGGGATAGGCAGATGTGGATGTTTGATGGTATTACAGATATCGTCGCAGGATGGAAGCAGTTCCTAATAAGGCCGCCTTTTGCAATTGACTAATAGCGAATTTGTCAATGCCAATGGTGTTCAAGTGGTGCTCCAGTTGTTTTGGGATTGCACCCAAGGAGCCTATGACTATTGGTACTACCCTTGCTTGCTTTTGCCACAGTCTTTCTATTTCTATTTGTAGGTCTTTGTATTTTGTTATCTTCTCCAGTTCTTTCTCTTCTATTCTGCTATCTCCAGGCACTGCCACGTCCACTATCCAGACTTTTTTGTCTTTCTTATCGACAATTGTTAAGTCTGGGGTGTTATGTTGCAGGTGCTTGTCTGTTTGAATTCTGAAGTCCCAGAGCAGTTTAATTTTATCATTTTCTATGACTTTCTCTATTTTATGATCCCACCAGTTTTTGCTTACAGGCAAATGATATTTTTTGCAGATCTTCCAATGCACCATTGTTGCTACTTTGTCATGCCGCTGCTTGTAATCAGTCTGTGCAATCTTCTTGCAACAGCTTACCAATGGTCCACTGTTTCTTCAGCTTCTTTGCATAGGCGCACTTACTGTCTGTTGCTGTCTTCTCAATTTTGACTTTGTATGCATTTGTCCTTAAGGCTTGGTCTTGTGCAGCCAGAATTAGTCCCTCGGTCTCTTTCTTCAATTTTCCTGCTCTTAGCCATTGCCAGGTTTTATTATTATCTGCTTTCCCAGCTATTTTTTTCATGTATTGGCCATGTAGTGCTTTGTCTTCCCATGCCTCTATTCTGTTCTTCATTTGGTCTTTCTTGTAGGCCAGTTTGGTCTATCCAGTAGTTAGTAAGCTTTCCTGATATACTAATTTCAGTGCATCTTCATCATTGTTCTTCAGATATTCTTCCAAAGCCATTTTTTCTTCTTCAACCATCTGATGTACTTGTAGCATTCCACGCCCACCTATTTGCCTTGGTAGATAAAGTCTATCAATGTCACTGCGTGGATGAAGGGCATGATTCATTGTCATTATTTTTCTGGTCTGCCTATCCATTGCTTTTAGTTCTGCTTGAGTCCAGTCCACTATTCCAGCTGTGTACCTAATGACTGGGATTGCCCAGGTGTTGATTGCCTTTATGGTATTTCCTCCATTGAGTTTGGATTTTAAGATCTTCTTCACTCTCTTGATGTATTCACCTCTAATCTTTTTCTTGACTTCAGTGTGCTTGATGTTGTCAGCTTGAAGGATACCCAAGTATTTGTAGTACTCTTCCTCATCCAGACTCTTAATGTTATTTTCGTGGGGCATCTTGATTCCTTCAGTTTTCACTATTTTTCCTTGTTTGATAGTAAGTGTGGCACATTTGTCCAAGCCAAACTCCATTACAATATCTTGGCTATATATACGGACCAGTGTTGAGCAGCGATTCTATTTCAGATGATGTTTTTCCATACAGCTTCAGATCATCCATATAAAGGAGGTGGGATAGTCTAGCAGAGTTTTTGATGTTTGATAACCATGTCCTGAGTTATTTAGTATTGTTGACAGAGGAAACAGTGCAATAACAAATAGTAATGGTGATAATGAATCTCCTTGAAATATTCCTCTCTTGATATTAACCTCTCCCAGCTTCTCACCATTGATCTGCAACTGTGTCTTCCATTGTGCCATCGATCTTTGCACAAATTTTCTGATGTTTCTACTGACTCCTGTTATTTCTAGGCACTTGATTATCCAGTCATGTGGCAGAGAGTCAAATGCCTTTTTGTAGTCAATCCATGCCACATTCAGGTTGGTCTTCCTTTTCTTGCAGTTTTCCAAGATCATTTTGTCTATTAGGAGTTGATCTTTTGTTCCTCTGCTGTTGGGGCGGTTTCCTTTCTGCTCAGGTGGAAAGAGATTGTTTTCAACTAGATGCTGTTGCACTGCATCAGCTACTACACCAGTTAGTAATTTGAAAGTTGTTGGTAAGCAGGTAATTGGCCTGTAGTTACCTGGTGTTGCCCCTTTTGCTGGATTTTTCATTATTAGGTAGGTTTTCCCAGTTGTTAGCCACTTTTCAATTTCTCCTCCTTGTAGTATATTGTTGAACTGCTTGGCAATGAGTGGGTGTATAACAGTTAGATGTTTCAACCAAAACCCATGCAGTTCATCTTCACCTGGTGCTGACCAATTTTTGATTTTCTTTGCTCTTTTTTCTACCATTTTTGTTGTTATTACTAGTTCTTTCATTTCAACTTCTGTTTTATTTGCATCCACTTCTTTTAACCAAGCGCATCCTTGTTGTATTTCTTTGGGTTATCCCATACCTGCTTCCAGAATTGCACTGTTTCTTCCTTGTCAGGTACTGACTGATTCCTTGCAGTTTCTCCATTGATGGATTGGTAGAAACGTTTCTGATTGGATTGAAATTGGAGGTTTGCCTATAGTTTGCAATTCGAGCTTCATATCTACTGATTTTCCTGGCTATAGCTGTTATTTGTTGCTTTATTATTTCCAGTGCTTCCTTGATCTTCCTTGTTTCTAAGTGGTATTTCTTGATTAGGTATTCTTGGTCTTCTTGTTCTTCAGCTTCTTTTCTTTCATCTGTTCTAGCTTGCTTGCATGTGATCTTAACTTGCTGATCTTATTTTCTAGTCTAACCTTCCATTTTTCTGGTGCACTGTTTGTTTGTTTTTCTTCTTTGTTGATTTTGCATCCCAGGTATTCTGTTATAACTGCAGCTGTGCTGTACATTAGTTGGTTTGTTTCTTGCAGTGAATTGGTGCTTATACTTGATATTGCAGTATTTGCATCTTTTAATGCTTGTGCTAGCTGTTTCTTTGGAACAAGCTTCAATGCAGGCAGCCTTATTCTGTTGTTTTTGTGCTGTTCTAGATGCTCAGTTATTCTTTGTTTCAATTCTTTTATTTCTTTAGTTAGAGGGTTTTGTTCTTCCTGAGGAAGAGGTGCCTGGTTTCCAAATGAGAACAGTTGTATATCTCTACTGGATTCTTTCACTGCCAACTCCCCCTGGTTTGCCTCTACATTCTGAATTACTTCTTGTAAGGCTTGGATTTCTTTGCCCTGGGTAAACCTTTGCAGTTCGTCCAATTCTGTTTCTGTAAATACTTTATTTCGTGTTATAAATCGGCGTTGATCTGCTAGTCTCTGTTCTGTTATTTCTGATTCTGGATGTTGGTCTTTCCAGAATTCGTGCATTCGTTTTAGATATCCTCGTCTTGTTGGACTTGATCTGTAGTAACAGATCATTATTTCTTTGTTTTCCATCCCTGTGTATCTGCGACGGGTAAACACCTTTTCTTCCAGTAGTTCTGCAGCTGCTGGCCCTGGTTGCTCAGCCAACAGTCCTGAGTCCTGTAACCCATTTTTCACCAGATATCCAGGAACTCCAATATCTAGTGCGGATTATTATTATTATTATTATTATTATTATTATTATTATTATTATTATTACTATTATTCAATTCAAGGCTCGTTTACAAACCCTTAAAATAAAGAGCAAATAAAATAAAATAATATTTATTTCTGTTTTATAATCATACATAAGCTTTTGCCAGCTGGGTTATTTTGTTTTGTTTCTAAGTAATACTTTTAAATTTGCAGTTTTATATATACAATTACAGTGAGTTGTTTCGAATAATGCAAATACATTCCGGAAACTTTATTTTCAAAGCACTTTCTGTTTCCACATCCCCACTGCATTTTTATAGCAATGTTATTTCCTTTTGAAAACGTCTAAGGCAAGGAGGTATTTGTTCCAAAACTACCACTGCATTTTTTAAAAGCAGCAATGCTGCATATAGTAGCTGTAACTGTAGACAAAGTCTGACATTACACCCATGATGCAAAAACTTTATGTGCTAGGGAGCACTTTTACATGCAGTAAACCAAGAAGGTGTCATACGCTTTACTTAAATGTTCCAATTTATTCTGAATAACTAAGATGTTGCTCTACTTATATAGCTGTGTTAACAAAGAAGAGCCCAACACAAAACTCTTTTGAAACCTCTCCCTCACCTCAGGCTACCACAGTACTTGTTGCTCAGGCCCAGGAACTCCTTGCGCTTACCAGTGTGTGTTCGCTTGTGTCGTTGTAGCTCATCACTGCGTGTGAAACGCTTGCCACAATACGTCCATGAGCAAACAAATGGCCGTTCACCAGTATGCCATCGAAGATGAGCTCGCAGATGAGATGTCTTTCCATACACTTTCCCACAGCCTGGGATATGGCAGATGTGTTGCTTCTTTTTGCCGGGGTCCCCAGAGCCCCTAAAAAGGGTGACGTATAAAAGAGTTAATCAGGTAAATTGGTTTGCTTACCATTTGTTTTGCCCCATGGCAAAAAAAGAAGAGCTACTATTAACATAGAATTATCCATCATCTTCTTGGTGGTTGCCATGAACACTAGAATTGAAGTCACTGCCCTCCACGGAAATCTAATCACAAACTCTCCAGTAATATAATGGGGGCAAAATGGGTGGTTTTGGATTTGTAGTCCTTTAATAATAACAAAGTAACTATTAAAGGAGTACAAATCCAAAACTAAGATCTAGAATGCCAGAATAAGACAAGGAAGACACTTTATCAAGACACACTGGACAATCTTTAAATCACACGTTATTGTCTCCGCAATGCTTGTTCTCTCATATTTTGAAAGCGTCTATAAGTTACATATCCCTACAGCAGCTATTTACATCTCCTGAAAAAGCACAGATAGTTCAGGAAAAGCAAGATGCAACTGTTTTCAGAAAGATAATGCTCTGCTAACACAGAGGAAAAAGAGAGTGATGTATACTTGCACAAATTTGGTAGCTACTTAGCATGGAACAAAGTAAATATTGAATCAACTGTTACACGTTTCTAGATGTAATCCCTTTCCCACAATCTATACAGCACAGAAATTATTTAATGCAGTGTTTCCCAAACTTGACAATTTTAAGCAACGCTGGCTGTGGAATTCTGGGAGTTGAAGTCCACATGCCTTAAAATTGTCAAGTTTGGGAAACACTGATTTAATGTTATGTCTTTATGGATCTTACATATTGTAAACCACTTTCAGCCTGCTGTAATCAGCTATTAACATTGCAAGCAAGCAAACAGTGCCAACTTTGTCAAATTACATGATTTGGGGAACCTTTTTACCTTGCAGGACAATATACACAAGAGAGCTGAACTTCATACATGTTAGGGTTTCTGACTTAAAGCTTGTATTCCCAACGGAACATGCTTCCCAAACTGGAAATTCTACTTCTAAAGAACTAAAGCAGGAGTCTATGGCAATCCCTTCATTTATTCATTGACCTTTGCATCAGAGTCCACTCAAAATTTACAGCACAAGCTTACCTCCCATCATTGTCTTTGCAATAAGGACAAGTGCAGGCTTCTCTGCGCATCCTTCGGACTTGCTGTGGCTGGGCATCCGGACTAGCTTCCCCTTCTTCCAAAGCTGTTCCATCATCGGCCAAACCATCACCAGTAGTACCATGGAGGCTAAGGTGGGTACTATGATCACCTGTAGAATAAACTGGGATTTTTACTATCTTAAAAGCCAAAAAGTCATCTTTCACCAAATCAGTTATATTTAAGCACCTATATAATTTCACTACCTGAAAGTCAACATAAAGAATGACTATATCCAAACATAAGAACACATATCAATTATATTATCATTTGTACAGAAGTTGTTCTAAATGTTATTCCCAATTTTCCTTTCACTTCCTTTCTGTTTTTCTCCTAGTTTGTTTTACATTTTAACTTTTAAAATAATGTCTTAAAATTCTCCGGGTGATATGTTTTACAAGCAGACAAAAGAAAAGAACACAGCCATACTTTGGGGTCAATGCTTGTGTATAATTGTTTTAATTAAATTATTCTCATAGTCTGGTGTCATATATGAAATTAGGTTTCTCAGCATCCTGATGCCATGATCAGCTTTATGCATGCCTCAGGCTTGCATGCTTCATTCTTGCCTTTGCACTTCAAATTTTTGAGCAAGCGTGATGATAATAGATAAAATGTATGATAATAGATACAATGATAAAACTCAGTATAATCACTGAAGAAACTACTTGGATAAGCAGCGAAATGTTTCAAACCAAAAAAAGAGAAGAAGTCCAGTTGCCATCACTCAACTTCCAGACTATGCAGTGTAATATTTAAATTTAAAATTTGAGAAAGGGGAAGAGGCATCTTAAATTTGTTGAAACAAGGAACTTATTTATCAAATTTAGAGCCACCCATCTTACCGTCCAAGTGAATCTAGGCAGTTTACAGATAAAAATTTCATAAATCATGCTTTGAAACTAGCCTAGTCACAAACTTATCAACTTTTAAATTAACCACACTTCCTCAGACTCGAATGACATTTTGAACTAAAATTAATACTCCAAAACCTCTCACAACTAGATATGATGGGGATTGCTACAACCCTAATAGTTGTACAGACCCGCTGGGGTTTCACCAAGAAGTAGAATCTCTTCTTTGGCTTCCAGGGGAAGTGGGGGAACATTTAGGTCATCTTTAGTATTTTGGAGTGTTTAGGGGCAAAATGAGCGGCTTAATCCTTGGATATACCTTAATCTGCTCTTAAAATCTCTGAATCCTTCCCCCAAATGACCCGATTCCTTTCCACTTTTGAAACATGGCCCCAGTGATGCCATACAAAGGCAGCTGTGGCCCTCTAGATGACAGTTGATATCTTTTGTCTATTGCATGCAGACATTGCAATAGACAAAGATATCCATTCTTATTAATAGTCTGAAATGTATTTCAATATTTCAACATGTCGAATGTTTGATTCATGCTGTGAGTTTCTGAGACTTTTTCTGTATGCATGCATGTCTCTGTATGCTCATTGTATTGTTGGGAATTTATTTTGGAACTTGCAAAATGCTGGACTTAACAAAAAGCTTTTTTTAAAGTAGCATTTCCATTTAGCTGGAAATGATTGCAGCAAAAACCAAGAAAGCAAATCTGCAAAGCAGATGCGAACTAACCCGATGATAAAATAAGGGCAGGGAATAACGCAACAATACTTCTAAGAAAGATATTCAGAGAAATTTCTTTGGAGCCTGCTAGCTGGCTAATTACGGTGATTTCAGAAAGGATATAAACTTGAAAAATCATCTGTTAACTTCTGTACCACGGTGTTCTCTCTTCTTCCTTCCTGAAAGCTAATATCCAATTACAAAAACCACAGAAATTATAGCTCAGTGCTGGTGAGTTTTCAACTGCAATATATAAAACATTTCTTAAAGGGAGGGGAGCCCAGGCGGAATGGTAAGCTCTGAAGCCTATCAATTTTTCTTCCCATTTTATTGGTCCAGGCTCAGGCTGTCATCTAATTGCTTTTTCTACAACTCCCACCTCACCTTCCCAAATTAGTTTGTTCTTCTACAAGTTTTCATGGCTTGATTATTTTCTTGCATGGGGGAAAACGTGACACATATTGTAAGAGATGTAAAACTCAGCAGGCCAAGCAATCTGCTTTTTGAGGAAATTAGCATATGCCAAGTACATTTCAATTGAACTAAGGGATATGAACCATCTTCAAGAGTGCTTCATAGCTCAGACAGCGTGGTTTCCATTTAAAAGAAGACTTAAGTTCTTAAAGCCAGTGCTCTCATGGAGCTTGCAACACACATTCCATGCATGCCAGCACTCCAAGCACAAGATAAAACACAGAATATTTTTTAACAGGTGAATGATTCATAGAAGACGTTGGTGACAAGGAACTAAAGCCTGCATTCATCACAAGCCTTGATTCCACATAAGTGTTCTTATAAAGCCTTTTATACTGCTGACAATATCTTATATAACTTATCTTAAGAAGCTTAGAGTAACACGTACACAGTAAAGGCTATCCTATGATGATGCTCTTTGCAAAAGAGATGGCCAAGGTGTGATTTAAACTGATGACTTCTTTACTTCCAATTGATCCTTTCTGTTGCCATACTAAACCACTATTTAACTGGCAGGCAAAACTCCAAATCACAACATCCTTCCTCCGGCATCCTTTTGGAATTAATTAATAAAATGACTTGTAGTGGCATACATGCTGTTACCTGATGATCTGGTAACATGTACAAGTACAAACATGTGATTGGACACATGTTCCTGGCAATCTACATGCCAACCAATTGATATAATTACAAACAGAAATAAATATTTTCCCCATAAAAGTGAATGGGGCAAACGAGGGCCATCCAAAGAAGATAATTCTTTACAACTCTGTATATTTACATATATTTTCTCTCCTTTATCTTGTGAACACCACCAACTGTACAGATTAACTGTGGAAATCTTCCAGAATATTTCCAAACAATTGGAAATAAAGTCTTTAGAAAGCTTTACGTTCAATTGTTTGCTTCAAGGAGAGAGGAAACATATAATACCTGTACTCCCCATCAATTCCTAAAGGAGAATTTAGACAAATCAACAGCATATCCTGTTGTGCTTCATTACAGCTGAGTAATAAACATGGCCTCCTCGATAACAACTATGAACTTTGCATCAACAATTTTAAATAAGGAAGTCCGATGCTAAACAAGCACTAAAACTGTAACATTTAAACATGCATGAATTGTAAAGTATATAAAATTTCAACTTTTATTCTAGTGATTTAGATCTCCACAGAAAGCTTCAGTTTTAAGTGAAACTTATAAAAAGAACAACAGATTCTGATCTTTTTGTGCTAGATTCACATAAATGATAAGTTTCTTGATTTTTGTGCCAAGCACTAATGATTTTTGACCAAATAATAGGAACAAAATCCTGGCAGCTGTTCATGTTCACAGATACTAAAGTTTCACCTTTCTGGATACTCAATTTTAATTGAGACAAAAGAGTCCAAATGTAATCACAAACTAAAGGTGCAATTGTGGATAGAAGAAAGAGAAATATTACTGAAGTCCCACACATTCAAAACGTTAACCTTGGTTCTAAACCAGTGGTTCTCAACCTGTGGGTCGGGACCCCATTTGGGGTCGAATGACCATTTCACGGGGGTCGCTAAACAACGCAGTCTGCCATTTTTCCCCCCTTTTCCTTAGCTGTGCTACTCCCTTTTATTCTATTGGCTTTTGAAAGCCAATAGAATAGACTCTCTTGAATTGAGTCTAATTCTATTGGCTTTCAAAAGCCAATAGGAATTGTCCAGGCTATCTCTGCCCTGCTGAGCCCGCCAAAAGCCGTATTCTGCAAACGGTGCTGCACCAGTTGAGTAGTCCTTGACTTACGACCGGCTGAGTAGTCCTCGACTTACAACCAGTTGGGGGTCGCGGCATTAAACAGGTTGAGAACCACTGTTCTAAACCATTCCCAGAGAAATCAAATGTAACCAAAGCAGTAGCCTAGTTCAAACTGCGACATCACCTTCAACTAGCATCGAGATAGATTCTGATATGGCCTCAGATCAGTCTCCAAATGAATTTCACTTGATTCCTCAAATAGTAGAATAAAATGGAAATAAGATGGGGGACTGGATTGTATCATTTCAGAGGGGAAGCGTGGCAATCTACACTTCTGAATGTTCATGATGTTTAAGAAAAGCTAGAACAACCAACTGATGTCGTTAAAAAGTACACCGTGCTTTTTGTTTACTCTTGATTTCAGCCAACAAATCAAGAAGCTAAATCCTAAAAAGGTTTGCTCTGTAGAGCAGCGGTCCCCAACCTTTACCGGCCTGGTCTGGTGTGGGTGTGTCAGAAGCAGGTGCATGCGCACGCTCAGCTCCATTTGTGCAAGAGGTGCATGGGGGCGCGCACCCTCCACTCAAACAAATGGAACTTCAGTGGAGCTTGGCGTCCATGCTTGTCTGCCACTCGCGTGAGTGGAGCTTCATGTGTGCGGGCTTGCCCATTTCTCCCATGGCCCAGTTTCAAACAGGTGGTGGCCCGGTAGTGGGCTGAAGCCCAGGGGTTGGGGACCGCTGGCATAGAGCCTCTACCCCAGTGTTTCTCAACCTTGACAATTTTAAGGCATGTGGACTTCAGCTCCCAGAATTCCACAGTTCTGGGAGCTGAAGTCCACATGCCTTAAAATTGTCAAGGTTGAGAAACACTGCTCTACACAGCTCTATCTTGTATACCAATTATGCCTTTCCTAGATTAGAAGGCCCTGCTCACTTTCACCATGCTTTGGTCATCTCTTGTTTGAACTACAGCAATGGACTCTACCTTTGGCTGTTCACGAAGACCACCTAAAAACTCCAGCTGATCCAGAAGGCAGCACTTTGGGACGCTGCTTGATGATTCTGCATAAACTGCTGCTTTGAGAGCTGCCCTGGTTTGCTTGCAGGTGTATTATTGCGCTCTCTGAATCTTTTGAACGAGAGGCTAAAGAGACGCAGCGTTAACCTGAAGAGCCAGAAGGCAAACAGAAGCTTCAGGCAGCTTTGGGAGGTAATAAGCTTGAGCAGGTGGGACCTGATTCAAATCATGAGAGGATAGATTGTGGCAGGGCACCTAGCCCAAGAATATAGCAGTGGAGCAAAGGTAAAACAGCACACCTGCT